CTTTCAGCGTTGATGTTGAGGGCGCCATCAGATTAAGCTCCATCGAGTTTCTGTCCATCCTGGACTTTTCAAGCTTGGTTAGTGTCCGGTCTCTCCTCCTCCAGTCTACCTACTTCACGGCTTAGCTTGTTCTTTCGAACTTTGCAAAGCCCACTCCACCTCCATGATTTCAGCAACTCACCTTCGAACACCAGCAGTTTTAGGCCTGAGAAGCAACAACGATCTTCGCCATGCTGCAAGCTGGTTTGAAGTGGTATGTGGTTGATTCTGTAACCAATTTGCTCTTAATGGTTCCAACCTACTCACAAAGGTGGTACGTGACCTTTCACAGTTCCGTAATATGCTTCACCGTCGATGAGTATTCTGTACATGAATTCGCCCATATCGGCTTTAACTTAGCATCATCGGCATGTCGCGGCTAAAACTCGCAGTCAGCTAGTTTCAGGGTTCGGCTTCAGCCGTACACCTGAGACCCCCAAAGCCCAGGCTCTAAACCCCGGTGCTTGACCTCCGCCTGTTGATGCCATGTCCAGGCCTACCCGCACGCAAGTCCGAACCGATGCAAGCTAGCGAGTGTGGCACCTAGCTTGAGCATGCCCTGTAGATTCTTGGGGTTTAGGAGCTTGTGTTTTGGGTTGAAGGTTGGGTCGAATGGGCTTCAGGCGGTAGCACTGCTCCCTTCTGATCCGTGCACGCGATGGTTGTAGCTCGTCTTGGCTCATCCAGGCCTCGGGAATCAGATTGTGGTGAGGGCTGCCAATAAGCCTGATTCGTTTTGCTGAAGACAGCATTGCGGGATCCTTTTCATCAGGGGCAAGCCCCGTGAAATGGGCGATTTCAGACATGTTCGTGCTTGTCAGATCTTACACTTGAGGCTACCCACAAACTGCGAAACTTGCGGGGAAAGTGGATCCAGTTACCCAGCCTGAATTGGTGCAAGAGCGAGGTGATAAAGCAAGCAGCAAACATCCAGAAAAACACTGCGCACGACTGAATTCTGGAACTTTGTTCCAGCTCGTGCAAAATCGCTTCAGGTTTTCACCGCTGGGCACACCGGAGCCTGCCATCAAGCTGACTCGCACCGCCAAGCGCGCAGAGGCAATGAACGGCTATGATGAAAAGCCAATGTAACCAGCTCAAAGGAGTTTTTCTCTGGCTCCCAGAACCCCTACCACTCCTCATCGTGTTACGACTACCACTGCTTCCACTTCACCATTGCTACCACTCCTAACTGCCACTACTGCCACTACTGCCACTACTACCACTACTACCACTTCTTCCACTCCTACCACCACCACCGCCACCAACACCACCACGACGACGACTCCGGCTACAGTCAGGTGGTTATCCTCCCGAAGCAACTTGCAAGGCATAATCTCTTATGACCATGGGTCGAGTAATGCTACAGAGCGTTCTCTTGACCTCTCCACTGCACTTAGAGAGGCTATGGCGACTCTTTCTGAGCTCCAGCGAAGGCTGCAGTCCCCGCCTCGGCTGACTTTCTACTCGCGGTGATGTGATCCGATTCTCTGTCCTTGTGAAGAGTTGGGCTAGGGATGTTGGCAATCCTGTAACCGCTACCCCGCAGCTGGACGCCACGAGCAGGGAATTCACAAGACTTTTCAGTGCTACCTATGACCTACCTACCAATCAGTGCAGACAGGTAGCTATGAACGGGACCACAAGTACCTGTTCAGCTCGCGCCCCTGCCACACTAAGTTGGAGCCAGCAGAAGCAAGAATGCGCCCCAGGTTAAAACCGAGCAACCCACATCCAAAGCTCCAAGCCGAACCCAACACGACAGAAGCTACATCAAGCTGACTCGTCCGAGGCATGCAGGTTAGGTGCCCCGATTCTCTGCTGCTGGAGCAGATCCAGGATGCCTGGCAGGGGCTTCGTCATATAAGATGCCAGCAGCCCAAACTCCCCACAAGGCAAGTACATCTGAAGTCTTCTTGATTATTGAGCCTCATCCTAGATCCTCGGCTGATGGACCGCAGAGACACAGCTTGCAAAGGAGCGGAGACGCCGAACATCTTGCAGCCGGTGAAGCTGGCAAGCGCGATGCTTCGGCAAGGTTTAGTTTTGCCGGAGTGTTCAGTGTTGAGTATAAGATGGGGGCGCGCAGGGTCGATGGTGCAAGGACAACTAATACTAAGCTTAGGGCCTGCAGTGAGTTGTCTGAGTTGTCTGTTTCGTGGCACGCCCTCAGAAGCGCAGGTGTGGTACATGTTGCAGGATTTTGAATAAACATTTCTGCTGAATGCACATTTCTGGAATATTTTGAGTGAAAATCCCTGTGGCCAGCGCCTTGTGGTGAAGCCACAAGTTGAGCGCTGAGACTGTACAGGCTTCGGAGATGCCGTTTTTCCGTCAGACGGCGGCGCACACCATGACCTATGCTGCATCTTGGGAACAGGCAGCTGAGGGATAATTTTTGATGCCGGCGAGGCTACTGAATGAGTTGCCAGCGCCAGTCAAAAAGCCTTTTGCATAGGGTGCTCGCGGAGCAGTGGCTCCGTCAACACCTACTCTTGCAGGACTGTGAACGTCGGACAGCCCCGTGCAGCAGAGAAAAAATAGTGGAAGCTGCTTGCGCTTCGAATTGCGCTTCTAGCTGCTACAGAACCGACACAGACTGCGGTGCCTCCGTGTTGCACAGTTGATGCAGACGACCCCTGCAGTTTTCGATGTTGGATTTGCTAAGGAACTTCGACAGCATCCCTGAATGAGAGATGTGCTTGTTGTTCCAGTCTCAACCAAGTGACTCCGATCTCTGTCTGAACCAGGGGCCCTCACTCCTCCCTTCAGTTGGGTGGCACGGAAACGGAACCATTGAGCCAGAGGCACCGGAGCAGGAGCAGTGTGAAGCTGGTCAGGTCAGCTGCCTCCACTTGCAGGGATGTTCTGGGAGTTTAAACCCAAGCCCAAATGCTCCAAATCCCTAAGCCCAACAAGCAAAGCCGACATTTTGGTGCTGTTTGAATGGCCAACGTCGGATGCACTGCAGCTTCCGACACTCTAATGACTGGTGCATTGACAGCTCCGAGCAACTTGTTCCACCAAGGCGCAACCCCTAGAAGCAATGATCACGAGTTTCATTGATCTGACAAGCTCCAGCTCAATCCGCTTCACCCCTGGGCCGCAACCGGCCCCTTTCTCATCCGAAGGCATAGCTCCTGTGAAGCCAGGACCTTCGCACACCGCAGTACGGGGGCACCGGGGCGTTCGGGCCTCGGAAGCGTCGAGGGTTTTGGAGTTAGAATTTAGAGGTTTGGGGTATTGAGGGAAGTTGAATATTTCGATTTTTTAGCGCCAGACAAGCATGTCGTATGGCAAACTACTTTGTGCGGAAGCCTAAGATTCCTCAGGTGGCGGTGCATGACCTTCGCTTTGCGATTCTTGCTTCGGGCCCGGGCGCACAGTATTGGGTCATGGGATTGGTTACTTCGTGTGCTTCGGGTGCACGTAAGGAGGAGAGCTTCGCTGCAACATTCCTCAAATAGAAGTGCGCGATCTTGCGTCACGGATCCGGGGTTGGCAGCCTGCACGGATCATTGGAAATTGGAAAGCTTTGGTTGCAAAGCCGGTTACGAAGCGCTGGGGTCAGCCTGAAGCCGGAAGCCCAAGAGACCGTGGCCTCAGTATATGAAAAAAGTATTACTGCAGTATATTATAGGATATTATAGTATATTATCCTAACAGTAGTATACTATAGTATATTATGGTATACTATAGCACATTATAGATTAAGAGGAACCAATGACCGTACGCTAGAGTGGATCTGACCAAGCTGCGAGGATCGCGGCCTCTCCGTTGTGACGGCAAAGCTGGTGAAGTGGCACCTGCGCCGCTCCTTCCTGAAGCTGGCTCTGAAGGATCGTAACAAATAGCATAGTATTCACTAGTATGTCGCACTATGGTACTGGTATTACGGTGCAGTAGTCTAGAATCAAGCTTTCCTGTCGTCCGTTGCGGTGGTTCGCGCTGGTAGGTTAGTTGCGTAGCCCCAGCTGCTTTCTTCACGATTCTGCTCATGCCATGTCGTTGTCGTGGCAGTTGAATGTACTGTCCTTGCAGGACCTGGCCACAGCTCGAGCTCTTTCCACCTCGGAGCGGACAGTCTTGAGGCTCTGGCATCCGTGGTCGGTTGGAGTGTTTCTTCGTGTGCACGGCCGATGTAGGGCACGACACTAAACGAGCATTGCAGGCCAACCGGTACCGTAGGCTTTGCCAAGAATCATCCAGCGAGCGCTTCAGTACCGCTGGCTTTTGTCCGTAAGCTGCAGTCGTACACACCAAAATTGGAAAACTAGAAGAAGCTGGGCCTCTGTGGAGTGGAATTCGATCAGAGCAGGATCGCTGCCAAGCAGTTTGCCCTGGGAGCCGTGAAGGCTGGGCACCTACCGAAACACACACACACACACACACACACACACAAAGACTTAGGACTTGCGATATGATGTCATCATGCATCATCTGCTTCAGTTTCTCAGTCGCAATCTTCTGGTCTCGTTTCCTTGGAATGCGATGGAAGAGGAGAAGAAGCACAAGAGGCAACTCAAAGGTTTCAGCCGCCTCAGAAGCCCTCAGCCTGAAGCTGCTCCCGGAATCCAATCAGCGCTCAAGATATAGATTTAGATCTTCGACAATTCTCCAGCACCTGAAGCCACGCCGTTGAGGTTTCAGGGCGTGGGCTCTCAATGTTCAGTAAGCCGATCAGGTCAGCAACCGCTTGGCCAGTGATGCCCCTAGCATGGCGGGCGCCGCGGAAAGGCTCTTGAGCCAGGGGCCTAGTCGGGTTCAGCTCAAGTCGCTTCGCATTTGCTTGCAGGCGAACACTTCTTGCAGGTGTAAGTCGCTTCCTAAGACTCCTCGAATCCTCCAAGGCGATGCACGCAGCGTCGTTTCGGAGGTGGAAGCTGCTGTGGTGGTGACCTGGCAAGCAGAGATTCTTGCTTTGCGAAGATGGCCTTTAGGACCAACAGCCCGAAAGCTCCATGAACGCCACGACCAGCACCCAACTGAATGCTCAGATCAAGCCATCTTTCGCAACTCTTGCCGCTGAGGCCAAGCCCGGCGCGCACCACGTGTGGAACGACCCCTCTGTGCCTTCGCCCTTCCTAAAGCCGGTTCAAGCGAAGTAGCTTTCTTTCTCCGTACTGTTGTCTGTTGAGGGCTCGGCCAATGAAGATCTGGCTTGTCGACGGGTTCTCGAGATGGGTTTGAGGATGAGAGAGGACGTATCTAGCCTGAACCTCGAACCAAACGGCACGAGGGCCCTATGACTGTAACGGAACTATCAGCTCGCCCTTGAACAGAAGAAGTCAGACGCTCTAAGCCCGAAGTCTCATATCATAACGCCGAGTCGCTGGACCCTAAATCCAAACCTTACATGCAGATGGAAACGCCAGCTGCAGCTTCGGTGGCCTGAGGTGCTGCCCGTCTTGGACCTGCAAAGTGGGGCCGAGGACCTCAAGTCCTCAGGGCAGTTCCGGAGCTTCTGTGCGAGTTGGAGTTTTGAGGTGCCGGGTGGCGGCGGATGAGCGGTTATTTTTTCATATCGCAATCATCATCATCGTTGAATCATCATCATCATCATCATCATCATCATCATCATCAATATCATCATCATAAGTACGTTTCCACCATCATCATCGTCGTCACCACCGCCGCCACCACCATCACCAGCAGCATCATCATCATCATCACCACCCACCATCACCGTCACCATCACTGTCGCCCATCGTCGGCCTCGCGGTCGCAGTTGTGGTTGCGGTTCGATTGTGGTTGCGGTCGTGTTTGCGGTTGCGGTCGAGGTTGTGGTTGTGGGTGTGACTGCCGCTGTTGCTGTTGTTGCTACTCGGATTGCTATTGTCGCTTGATAGTTTTGGTTTTGTGTTTCGTATAGTGACTTCAAGTATTGCCGACACTAGATCTTATCGCCGAGGTTCATCAGAGATTATGCTTTAGTAATGTTTTGGGAGCAATGCCATCGCCAGTCACCAGATTGCCGCAAGTGTGCGGTATCTAAAGTTGAGATGTCCTGGGCCCGGTGGATTTCGATTGCACGTGTACGATAGATGTGTGGCTTATGCACCATTATCCAAGCGGTTATCATGATAACAATCCTCGTGTTCAGTGTAGCGTAGCCGAGCGTGTGTATTCTGGCATACCGGGAGATCAGAGCTAAACCTACCAGAGTGAGCGGAGCACGAGGGCATGCAGTCAAGAAGCACTACGAAAAATAAATAATGACGTGCTCACAAATACATGCACTACCCATCTATCCATCCATCGACCTACCTATCTACGTAGATGTAGATGTAGATACGGATATGGATATAGGTCTATAGATACAGTCAGATTGTATATGGGAAGATCGCAGGACCAGCAGCCCGAAGCCTGGGGTCTGCATCCCTTCTTCGACCGGCTCCTTCGCACGGACGTGAGCCCTGGGGCGGCCACGGGGGTGCCAGGAGCCCAAGGCTTCAAAGGTGCGACGGTGGCAGAAGAACTCTTGAAGCCTAGACCACCGCAGACTCCTGCAGGGAGCCCTGACAAGCACCTCAATCGTTGAAGCCTGCTGTTTAAGGCTTAGAGTTCTGGGATGCTGGCTTTTGGGGTTTTCGGTTGAGTAGGAGGCGCACGCTGGCCGTCCGGAAGGTGCATTACAGAGGTGAAACTTCGGGAGGATTCAGTGATTCAGGCTCACATTGGGGTTTCGGCCGTGTGCTTCACGACAAGCCGAGAGCCTTGAAGAGCGAGGCATTGGCCTCAACCATTCTCAAAACGCAACGTGAGAGCCCTCCTCGGCCTTAACACGGCCCTAAACCCATGCATTTAAGGTGTAGCTGCTTGGAAAATGAGGTGCCCAACATAGGTCCTAAGCAGTAGGATCCAGTTCAGGATACCTTCAAAACTCGCTTCTCAGGCCGTTGCTGGTGCCCATCAACCTGCTGCAGGTTCCCACGAGCGTCCGTGATTTGGATGAGGCTGGGGGGGCCTGTCTGGGTGGGCGGTGGGTATCAGTTCATGTCCGCAAAGATTCGAGCGGCTGTATCTCCAGCCCAGAGACCGCAAGTTCAGTGGAACCGGAGGTGCATCGGGCGCTGCAGCTCTGCGAGATCCTCTGCGCGAAGCTGGCCTTCGTAGGCAAGGGCGTTCAAGGAAGAGGTGTTTTTTGGGCTTCTGGCTAAGTAGCGGCTAAGGTTTTGTGTGTGATGTTGGCATGATCATCCTTTGTGAGAGTTCTGGGCAGTGTCTCGGAGCATCCGCTCCGCGCAGTTTTTGAGATCTTTTGGCCAGGTAAGGAGCGGTGCAAATTCTCACCGTACCTGCGGGTGTCGCTGCTGCAGCACGTCCACCGACCCAGCAGGGATCTGGGTCCTGGGTCTTAAAGGCCCCCTCGAGAGTTCGGGCCTGTCTCAGCGAAGTCAAAAGATTCTTTTCAGATGCCCAGCACTGACACCTGTATACAGTTTTCAACTTAACACCCACACATGCCCGAAGCCTGAAACCCGTATGACCTAATGCGTAGGCCCTCAGTCCAAGCTTGAACCCTGACTGAGGTCTTCACCGAGTTAATCCCGCTGCCCTTGGGCCACTGCCTCAGGTTCGGTTTAGTGCTGAGGATTTCGAAACGGGAATTCTGATGTGAGAATTCGAGTTGTTTGTGCATGGGGAAAGACCTCCAAACACGCATTTGCAGTTGTATTTGAGCTGTGCGGCATGGGTTTGTTGCCAAGTAAGCCCCTGATGTGTTGGGGCCTCCGTGCTCCGGCGTGTGGAAAATAGTTCGTACCCGGTATGACTACAAACAGCTCTCCTCAACCTTGTAAGCTCTACACGATGCGGAGTATAGATCCACTTCTCGGAGCACAGACCTCGGCTACAATCGCAAGCCCGCCCCGACTCTCAGACTGACCGGGCGTGTTTTCTTCGTTTCGGAAAGGGGTCAAGGTTATCCGGGTTGAGAGTACAGGCGTGCTCTTCAGGGCTCAGGGTCGGGCCCTAAGCCCAGGCCAAGCGATCCTTTACCCTGAAACCCGGATCCAAACCCCAAAAGCCCAAATCCCAATATTCTGAACCGTCAGCCGAAACCCTGAAGCCCCCCCAGCCCAGACCTAAGCCCCAAATCCTAAACCCCAAACCCGAACCTTACACTCCAAACTGTCCCTAAACCCTAAACCCAAACTAAATAGCCGAGGCCCGGCCACCCAGACGGCGCCTCTGAACATGCACGACGCGATCTGGGCACCGGGAGGCTGCCCGGGTCAGCATCCAATCGTCCTGTAATATGGGGGCTTAATTGAATTACCTATACTATTTTGGGGGCTCCTTTCTACTAGTAGTATAATATACTCCGAAACCCTATTCTAATTATTAAGGCCCCTACATTAGGCACTGTCCGAGCTGCGGGCATGCCGGACTGGACATAGCTCGTCGAGAAGGATTTCGTGCTTTTTGCTCTGCTTTTCGGCCGGGGAAGCGTGCCAAGGTTGGGATGCAGTACACCCGCAGATGACGCGAGCTGCGCAATTGGTGCCAGACTCAGCTGGAAGTTCGCGTCCTGGGTGCAGAATGACAGAAACATGCTGCGAAGCACATGGCATAGGAAATGCCGGAGAGTGGGATCTTTCCAAACCCAAAACCGCCTATACCTGTAAGCCAAAAGCCCCCCAACCAAGCATGCAGAGTATCAGCGATAGTTTTAGTTCGATAGATAGGAATAGTAGTAGAGGCAGCACTGACAGTTGATAGTTGGTGTGGTTGGGTAGGTGGTGGCGATCACGGCGGCATGGCGCAGCGGTGGGGATGGTGGTGGCAGTGGTAACGGTGGGTGTGATGGTGGTAGTGGTCGTTGGTGTTCTGGTGGTGGCGGTCGTCGTTGCAGTGCCACTCGTCGCTGTAATCAGCAGTTGCGGTCGAAGTGAGAGTGTGTTAGTCGCAGTCGTCTCGTCGGCGGCGGGGCCCGGGGTTGTTGTTTTTCTTAGGTGCGGCTCGGCTTTTGTGCCGCTTGGCTTGGCTTGGCTCGGCTCGGTTTGGCTCGTGGCTTGGCTCGGCTCGGCTCGGCTTGGCTTGGCTTGGTCGCTGTGGCTCTGCTTAGAGCCAAACCAAGCCGAGCCAAGCCGGGTGGTGACTGCGTCGTCGTCGTCGTCGTCGGGAGCGGTGGTGCTGCAGCCTAGCAGCCATAGCAACTGCATCATCACCAACACAAAAGCAACCATGGCAGTCACAGTAGAAATTATCATCGTCAAGCACAGGCCATTAGAGTACATACCTTCATCCCTACGATCGTAGATGTGCGTCCTCCCTTGCCCCAGGAGCTCCTCCTGATTCTGCGACGGCTGGCCGAGCACTTCGCAGCCGCCTCCTGCATGCTGGCCAACAACAAAGGCCTCGGGGCTAGAGTTGAAGGGCCTCCTTGCGTTCTGTTCTGCACCCCCACAGATTCTTAGTTCAAGGTTGCGGGGTTTTGGCCGGGGATTTGAGGTCGCAGTTAATGGCTGAGACGCCGGAAATTGGCGACAGTGCAAAAGACATTGGAGCAGTAGGAATCCAGAGAGGGATCACACGAGCAGGGTGGAACCCCCCCGGGCAGCGATCATCAGACAGGCTTCGATGCTACCAAGATCACTGTCTTCGGATCTATAGCTGCCATCGCGGACCGTGTGGCCAGAACAACAGTTGGAGCCTCGGATTGTACTGCATCTCATCTTTGCCGGGTGTCTTCAGAGATCTGCAAAGCCTTAAAGCCTGTGTCGTCGTCTGCCTTGGCGATGGTAACGCGAAATACAAACAGCAAAAACTGCCAAGAACGGCGAAACTGTTGCAGTGCTCGCTATCGTGGCTTCGTTCGTACTTCCGCGGAGCAACTCCTGCCAGACACACTTCTTGCAGAGGGTGGTGCAGGTCCATGCAAATAACAGGAGGCGCTCACTGCCTGAGCTTGAGGTGCGAAGATCCCGCGACACCGGCGCCGAAGAAGGGCCGCAGCGCTCTCAGAGGCCCTCTGAAGCCTGGATTGGACATGCGATGTCCTGAGGTCAGCACTCACAGAGGCCCTCAACGGTACCCTGGGAGGGCGCCCTGTCGCCATCGATCCGAACACCTTCCTGGTACAGCCAGCGGCTTAGAGCAAACGGAGACTGCCACGGTCAGCTGTCCATAGCGAGAGCATGAAAGGAACAATCCTAGCCGAAGGCTGAGCGAAAGCTAAGAGAAAACACAGATGCAAAAGAGCCTCCAAAGGTCTCGAGTCCTCGAGCTCAGAACCCCTGGATCTTGCGGTTCAGGTTCTAGGTTCTATAGGGCTTAGGGTTTGTTCAAGAACCCTGAACTCCAAAGCCTACAGGAAAAGGAGCAGCTGAAGTTTCAAGAAGTTTGAGCCTCGTATAGGGGCCTAAATGAGTTACCTATACCATTTTGAGTTCCATGTAACAATTATAGTATATTGGGCCCCAAAGCCCTCTTCCAATTATTAAGGCCCCTATATTATGGTTCCTTATAGATCCCTTATAGTAGCCCTTACAGATCCTTTAAAACGGAACCCTTATCAAGGCCCCTATATTAAGTGAAGTTAACCTCCTTTTTCTGGGAGGTCGGAGACCATCGAGACAGCGGCGCCCGAGTTGAACCTGGCCTTGGCCTTGGGACTTCGAAGGAGGAAAGCCGGTAGTACTCTCAGGGAATTAGGGCCTTTAGGGTTTAGGGCCGGTTGTAGTAGCACTACGAATGACCCTGCTTCTGTGATTCTAGTGCTATGAAGCTGCAGGTTGAGCAAGGCGCCACGTGCTCTGCTCGACTCTGGCTCCGTCTTTGCAGACTTCCTTAGCTTGCGAATCAATCCTGACGCTGCAAAGATGACGAAGAACGCAACTACGGCCAGATCCAACAACGCGCTGACAAGCACTGCCAACACTACAACGGCAGCCACAACATAAACAACAGCGAGCAAGAACATAAGCAACAGCAGCAGCAAGAACACGAGCGACACCAGCAGCAGCAACAGTAACAAGAACAGCAACAGCAGCAGCAACCACCGTTGCAATGAGGACGACGACGACAACCATATTAACGATGGAGTATCGCCGCAGTCCGCTGTCCCCTTTTAGGGCGCAGAATCGACACTGACTTTCCTTTCGCTCAAAAGAATATCCTTGAAGTCCACCACAGTGCTGCTCTGAGAACCAGGCCCGCACTGCAATCTGCGCCTACTTCTGCCCCTCGGATGGACTCCGCCGTCCTCTTCTGAATCGGGTTTACACTTCGTGATTCCGGGGTACCCTTTTGTGTTTGAACCTGGTGTTGCCGCAGTCTTTGAGCTTGAGTGTGTCTTGCTTTCATGACAGATGCATCAGGTGAAGTTCTAAACCACTATGAGATCAAGAAGCTGAAGGCCTCGTGGAGCCGGAAGCTGTTCTGTGCGGAGATGGCTGGGCTTGTAGTGAGTAGTAACACTGTGAGGAGCAGGAGGGGTGACTTGAAAAGGCGTCTTCCGAGCTAGGGATAGGCAAGGCGAAATCCAGGCGTAGTCGTGCCAGAGTTTGCATGCAGGATGAGACCTTGTTCGACTGGGACACCTACGGTCTCGGGCTCGGGTTCTGACCGTGTTTGCCGCTATCGGAGATGCTTTTCGCGCGAGTGCCTATGTATGCATGCAGGCTGGATGATGTATGTGGAGAGGGAGAAGGGTCTGGAACGTGTGGTGCACGGGGCTTGGACTGGAATATTTCTTACTTCCCTAAGCCCATCAACTCCGCCTGACGTATGTGCCGTGCACAGGAAGCAGATGTGCGCCAAGCATCTTCTGGAGACTGGCAAGGACACCACATGCCATGTGCATGCGTTTGCAGTCCGCTCACACTGGGCGCCACATTCCGTGACCGTGCCCTTGCAGGACTGGGGCAAGCTAGTTGCCGGAAACCAGTCTGAAAATGCGTATCTGGTGCTCGGCTCAGATGACTGGCCGCAAAGGGAGTGACTTTGATGCTACGGTTGCAGACTCCGCAGTGGGTTTTCTACCGGCACTCGAATGGGTTCGCAATCATGCATCAGACACCCGGAGTGTAGCACCAGCAGCAGACGCTGTCGCCCGGAACGAAGCTACACAAACCGCAGCATTTACGCTTCAATCGCCATTCAGCCGTTAAGTTGAGCCCAAATTCGGGTTTACGCCAGTTTACGCCCATCTCTTCGGAGAGCCGAGGTGCGGACCTGGCCGGAGTTTGCAGCCTTGCGGGACATCATCTTCTTCTGGAAGTACTTCATGTGCCAGGGCCCCAGGGCCCCTGGCTCCCCTTCACAAAGGATCCGTCGAGTCTTCGGCCTCCAGGGCTTCGGGCTTCTCCCGTTTGTGACCTTTGACACTCTGTGTCTTCTGATCTGCCTGCCCCCCCTCACCCCGCCAGATGATGTTGTACACAGATACCGTCGGTAAATCCGAAGCCTCCGCGCCTTGAGCCCATTGCTCGGCAGCCCATTCTGAGGCACGGATCTGCGCGTTTTCCCCGACATTAGCAGCTGGTCGTTACAGGCACGTATAGAAACTAGAGGGTCATCCTTGTATCCTTGTAAAGACAGAGACTGATCAAAATGGGTGACCCTCCTAAGGCTGTCCCAGGACAAAGTGCACCAGCGCTAAGCCCCCCGAGTTTGCACACGTGCAGGCCCCCGAGTATGCATTCCCCGGGCATGCAATCTTCAGGTTAAGCTCTTGAGGTATCCAAGCCCGATGACCCCTCATGCAGGCTGCATATCTCACTTGGAATGTGGCCAACGAGAGTGAGGTCTTTGGGCCTCCTACGAATAGGGGCGTGGCTTGGCCAGCATGGACGGGACGGGAGTTTGGCCGATTCTCAGTACCCCAAAGCTTTTAATCCAGACCTGCATTTACAAATCCTGAAATCTGCAGTTCTGCTCGATACCCCAACCATCGCCCCAGACTCGGCTTCAGCCCTCTCGTGACCGCGCCCCCAAAGGCCCAGCAGCCCCAAACCCTTCTTAGACCCCCCAAGATGCAGCAACGACCTGAAAAGCCGTCGAGACGTCGACTGGGGCAATACCCTGAGGCTGAGGTCTTTCTATTTTGGGATCGACGTAGTTGCTGCTTCCTCGCGTAGTGTCCAAAGTTGAGCTTTTATGAGTTATCTCAGGCAGAACAAACCATGAAACTTGAACCCTAAGCTAAGTCGTCTTAATCTTCTACCTTCAGGCCATCTTCCAAGTCAGTGCCTTTGGTGCCACCCTTAGCTGCTCCTTGCAGCACTTCTTTTCGGGTTTATGCTTTGAGTTTTCGTAGGGCCAATGTTCTTGAGAGCTTGTGGCGATTCTTTTTTTTGAAGTTTGCCCTGTGCCACACGGAACTGCGTTAGCTTTCCGCTGTTGAGGCGAAGGGTCGACAACATGATATGCGAAGTTAGTTAAAGGCTGAAGGGGAAGGAGTGGCTAAGCAAACCTCCAGCTGGTCTGCACATAGCCCGGCACCGTGGGAAAAGCCGTCTCGCAAATAGCACTTCGCATCCGAAAAAACTCCAGAAATTCTAAACCGTAAGGGCACTGACACCATTGACTTTCCAGCCAGCACTGGTGCTGGTGTTTCGGACACTCGGGCAGCAAGAAGCAGCGCCCACAGCCCGACCTGTACCACCATGAGACTCCGCGCCGAGGGGCCCCACGTCAGCCGTAAAGACAGGCCTACAAGTAAGTGCTACGCAGAGAGGATCCTCACCAAGCATCTTGTTGTAGTGTCAGTCATAATGGGGACGGAGCCTCACCCCAAGCTTGAAACCTATTCTCGCCGAGGTCATGACCATGTCTTAAAAACCAACGAGCCGAACTACAGGCTCCTCAGAAGTTGGGTTCAAATTTTGGAGGTCCTTCGAGGGCTTCAAGGCCGTTTTGGCACACAAATGTTTAGTTTTCTGGGTTCAGAAAAAGCTCCTAACCGACCCAAATTCTCGAGCGAATTCCCGACGCACCTAGAACTCAGTTAATGTTCTTGACAACTATAACCATGGAACTTTGGAATACAATATATGCTAAGCTAAGTATACAAAACTATGAGACCATGGAATGAGGACAGCGGAGAAGGTACATTGATATGCTCACCAACAAAAATAGCAAAGTCTGTTTGGCTTTAATCTGGTGTTCAGTCGTAAACCCATTGCGGCCTTACCCACCCCTCAAAAGGACGACATCACCTTCACCATGGCTTTGTAGTCACATCATCCAGTGGTGCCAGTTTCGAAACGCTAAAACCTGAACCTTGCTTCTGGAATGCTTCGCATTTTGAGACCATCTGGTCAAGAGCTGGCCGCAAAAAGTGCAGACGAGTTCCCCAACACGTTCGCCGTGACGGAGCATTTGCGTGAAGCGCACGGCTTGCCGATGTGCGTGCAGCAACTCCTGCAAGACGGAGGGATATTAGCTGGCGACACCGCCGTCGATGCAGGCATGGATTTGCAATCGGTACTGCTCACCATCTCCGGCCTTCCTACACGTTTAGCTCGGGCAGATCTTGAATTTGCAGCTGAACGAAACTGCGCTAAAACCGTGCACTGCTTGCTGGAAGCCGGTCTACGCCGGGATGGCGCCAGCCAATGTTTTGAACGAAGCCTAATGCTGGCATCTCAATACGGTCATTCGGAGGTTGCACGTTTACTTCTGGAAGCTGGTGCTAACAAAGAGTGGTGCGCCCCTGAGGAGGCTTGTTGGCACCGTGAGGGGTGGACAGCCCTATTGCTGGCATCGCAGCGTGGTCACTTGGACGTTGTAGGCTTGCTGTTGGAAGCTGGCTCTGACGCACACACAATAGACGACCACGGCACAACATCACTCATGCTCGCCTGTGGCAGATAAATTTGACACGAACATTCGGTGGTTCCCAGGCCCAGGGCAGGACATTCGTAGCTTGAGCCTTGCTATCTCAGACGGTATTTTTTGCGCGACAGCATCGAGCCCCGATGCGCTGTCCATTGCCACATCGTGGTGTTAGTCAGATTAGAGACTAAGTCGGACATCCATAAGACTGATCGGAGTAGGAACTCCCCGGCAACCTCTACTCTTTCAAAGCCGCTTAAGGCTTCCAATCATAGACCCTCAGGCCCTAAGTCCTAAGCCCGAAAAACCCGACACCTTCGCTTCTTCCTGCGTTTGGCTTCGAGCGGCAGCAAGCCCCTAGTGGAGCGAAGGGTCTCCGCAAGGAACAACAGGTAAAGCGATTCAGGAGTTCGGTGTTACACGATTTGTTGGTGTTTACGGGGTTAATGAATACCCAGCCTTTCAGCCTTGAAAGTCTTGTTCCTTGAGAAACGGTGTGGAGATTTTGTTTTTTTTTGTTTGGCTATCTTGGGTGCTGAGGGAGTAATCAGTGTCCCTGCCTTGAACATGAATATTCGAGCGTTTCGGCGCAAGCGCCTGCTCGCCTATGCGGTATGGATGTATTCGATGGAAAAGACCTTCTGCTTTCTTGGACCTGGAGGTTATCCACTCGCCTCTCCATCTGTTGTGCCAGACGTGCCGAATTCTTCTCCAAACACTCTGCCACCTGGAGACGTTGATGTACCGCGTATTGTTTTTGCTGCCTTCGAGTACTCGGTGGCTCCTTACCGGAACAAGCTGAAGCGTATCGTCGAAGAGCTGGGGGTCCGAAAAGACCAGGCGCCAGACGAGCAGATGAAGTCCGCATTCTCTCGTATTGATAGCCAACTTGGCGGCGTTATAGCTCAATGGGACCGGTTCATAGAACAGTGTAAGACTTATGCCATCAAGGCCGTCGATTCTCCAGAGGGCAGAACCTTCGTACTGGAATCATGGCACATGAGCCTTTGTTCTTGATAATAAGGCAATTGCTTGATTGAGGTTGCTATGGTGTCTTTTCTTCTGCAACTTAAGTGTGATTCACTTACAGAACAATCTAGGCGCCATTTGGAAGATTTCGAAGATGAGGTGGATCAGCTATATGAGGATTGGAAGAACGATTCTCTGGCTGAGTGGCTACGCAAGATTGACAGCATCTGAAGACCTGCACCAGCAGGGCACCTTCTCAGACAGGTGGCAGCAAGACCTGCTCCCACCCACGACTCGTACTACGACAAGAACACAGCCATGCTCCATTTGCCGAGCCGCCGATGTTTGCACTTGAGCCAAGGCAAGAGCACATCCAGGGGCACGGTAGAGACTTCAATGTTTTATGCGCTCTCTCCCCGCAGTCTGTACCGCGCCCTCAAGCCCTGAAGCTCAAAAGCTCAATCCTACATCCCGGTCCGTGCGCCTGCAAGTTTAGATCCCTTCATCCTACATCCTGAACCTAAGCGATTTGCTTCAAGGTCTAAGAACACGAGGGGGCACAGAACACCGAACCCAAGACCCTAATCTCTGAAGCCCTAGTCCTTTGCTTGCGACACACGTGCGACATGCGGAAAACTCGAAAGCAGGGGTCTCAGGAGGGAGGGAGGGGTTTGAGGGCTGAGTAGTAGGCTTCAGTTTTAAGGGTTGGGGAATCGGCTTCTCGATCTAGGGTTCTGGTGCTCTCTCTTCTTGATCGCAAAGTTTCTGGATTTGGGAAGTGACCGTTTGTTCTGCCATGAATTAAACCTGAACACGGCAAAATCGGCAAGATGACTCAAAGAAGATGACCCGAGCCCTACCCCTACACCGTCGGCTCTGTTTGGACGTGTTTGCTTTGGTGGATGCATGGACTGCGCGTGACCGCGCAACGGTTTTACGAGCTCTCAAACCTAGACCACAGTGCCATGACCCTCCTGGTTTGGAGTTTGGAGCCGGATCAGCAACTAGCATACTTCACCCTCTACGGAAACCTCCGCATGGAAATTCTTCTCAATAAATCCCCACCCTTGTTATTGCCAAATCGAAACAGGCCAAAGCCTTCGGCCAGCGGCCATCGATACCCGAGCGCGGCTCTAGCATCGAAGTGATCCTGCTCAGTCGTAGGTTTTTCGGATTTCTGAAGTCTGCCGGGTCTGGGAAAGATCGTGATAGAGTTTCGAGGGAGTGCAACCTAAATCCCAAAGCCACACTCACGAGTTTCGGGGACGTGAGGTACACGGGCCGAGCTGTAGTACGGACCGAGGATGACCTGTGTCGGCCCTGGAGTTGCAGAGTTTTCGGGCGAAGACTTTCGGATTTTTGATATTAAGAGGCGTCCCTTGCGGATAGTCGTATCGCGCATTGCAGCGTAACTTGGACATTGTCGTTGAAGCTCTGACCTGGATTGTTACTGCAAGCAGGTCACTAGGAGGAGCAGCAGCAACAACGACATCGGCACGAACATGCGACCAACATTAACCAAAATTTCTGTCTGAGTCACACAAGTGCGATCGCAAGATCATGCATCAGCATTAGCATCTTCATCATCATGTCCATCATCATTTTCATCATGTTCATCATCACCATCAGCATCACCACCATCATCATCATCAGCATCATCACCTTAATCACCAGGTTCATCATCATCAGCATCACCACCACCACCACCACCATCATCATCATCATCATCATCATCATATTCGCCATTTTCATCATGATCTCCATATTCATCATGCTCATCATCATCACCATCATGGTCACCACCACCACCATCATCATCATCACCATCATCATCATCATCGTGATCACCATCAGCAGCACCAGCATCATCATCATCATCATCATCGTCACAACCACCGTTGTCATCCTCATCATCATCTTCTTCGTCAGTATCATCCTCCACCGTCACGGTCGTCATCACCATCATCATCATCATCATCATCATCTCATCACCATCATCATCGTCATCATCCCTACCAGCACCACCACCAGCACCACCACCAGCACCACCACCAGCACCACCACCAGCACCACCACCACCACCACCACCACCACCACCACCACCACCACCACCACCACCACCACCACCACCACCACCACCACCACCACCACCGCCACCGCCACCGCCACGACCATCATCATCGTCATCGCCGTCGTCATCATCATCGCCGCTATCATCATCTGCATCATGATTGGTCATAGTCGTCACCGGTGCCGCACCCTCGTAGTCTGTTTGCTCTGAGTCGTGGTGGCGATGGTTTTGATAGTGGTTGTGTTGGTGGTTTGGTGGCGGTGGTGGTGGTGGTGGTGGTGGTGATCATAGCAAGCTGCCATAGTGATGGTAACAGGAGTGAAGATGAAGTTCGCCAGAGGATTGCAAAACATCGGTCGCTCATTGAGGCTGTACCTTCGATCTTTACCGACGTTCGAGGCACTGTCCGGCGGTGAAAACGAGAACGTAGGGCACAGGCACAGGTTCTCATCTATGATGTGGATGAGGATATTGTCGAAGCACGTGCATCTAAGAGTCTCTTGCGCAACTCAGGGTCTAGAACGACTCCTTCATCATCCGGTTCCAGCATCTGTGGACTGCACTACACCTCCTCTGCAATCTTTGGAACCTGATTGGTATCATGCCTTCGTGGACACCGGCATAGACTCATCTTCGTCATTCTGCGTTTGCGTTCCCCAATTTTTTGCGTCTACTCAGTGCCACTCTGAGACCTCATGGAAAAGAAGTTTTCCGGCCGCAAGGCTTCTCAACATAGGGCTCTTTAACATTTTCGTTCGTCTAAGTCTCGACCGATGTCGGCATCAACATCACAAGACTCATGCATGTACTGGACGCATCAGAAACGAAACTTTACCACTTGAGACTCTGTCAACGCACTTCCACAGTGGGCCGGCCGCTTTGACAGGCAGCTCTGGCAACCAAGGGATCTAAGTCTCAAGGAATGGCTAGCCTTCCTACTCAGTCATGCCCGCGTGAATGCGCGGTGGCTACACACCGCAAACCCGAAGACTCCAACCCTGCTTGTAGCCACAAGCCCTGAGCTCCGACGACGTGAGCACAGGAAACCCGAAAGCCTTCCACCCTACACACGACATGATGTAGTCCAGAGCTCAGAAACAAGTCTAAACAACACCTTGAAACCCGACAGCCCTAGAACCAGATCCCAAAGTATCGACCCCATCGAACCTAAACCCCAAAGGCCCTAAACCTCAAGCTCGAAACAGGATCGCTTACGGCCTTCAGATGCCGAAGCGCTACTCTCCTTCCTGACGGTCAGGATCTCGTCGCAGGGCTTCGGGCAGTAAGGGTCTTGTTTCTTTTGAAAGAATTGGGGCCTTTCGGGATCTTGCATTTAAGCTCTTTTGGGTGTTGGAGTTGAACGCCTTCAGGTTTTTTCAGAATCTTGCGGGGTTTGTGACGTGCTTGGTAGGAGACAGAGTTGGGTAAGTTTTGGCCACTAGTTCGGGGTTGAGTTCTTGCGGAGACGAGGAGTCTGCAGTCTTTTCCGCAGACGATATTTCCAAGTAGCACGTGGCTGTAGACGTAGTGTTCACCAGAAGATCAACCCATGCCTGCCGAAGCTGAGGTCCCCTACATCCGAATGCGTGGGCCTGAATCTACAAGTGTGCACCCTGAGCCTAGATGTCCGCAACGGGCTGGCAGGGACCCCGAAGTGGAACTTTGTTTTCTCATTCATTCCTCGCATCTGCCTTCTGTCGTACTTGGGTATGTGGGCGTGGGGGAATCGGCTGACCTTCATTGGATTAGATGGACATTTGGCCCTGCCCTATCCCTGTGCAGGGCACAGCCCGAAACCCTCTCAAAGAGCCAGCCTCCAGGCCGCTGATGTTGTCCTTCTTCACCTCCGCAGATCGCGTCGGGGCGCCGGAGATTCTTGGGTCTCTCGTTGTAGCGAAGTTTGACACTGGAGGAGTTTAGAAGAGTTTTGAAGGGGTTTCGTCTTCAGTCAGCCTGAAAGTGCGGGAAGAGCCGGCCGTCAACTTCGCAAGGACTCTGAACCATGAAAAGCCCAACAGGAGACTACTGGCTTGTTGTGCTGCGAATACATTCTCTCTCTCTGGCTGTGCACATTGACTCCCCCCCTGCATACGAACCTCAGGTGAATTGCCTTTTCAGCGACACGCCGCAGACTTGGAAACATCAGCATTTGGTTCCAAAGAATTGCTCCATCGGGAAGTGCTCTTCAGTAGGTGCTCCTACACTACTGGCTTTGTGCCCAGGCTGAGGGCAATCCTCCACGCCGTGGTCCTGGAGCCTGGAAAGTTTCTCATGCCCGGCCGCTGGCAGGAGCCAGCTCCTGAGGTAAAGGGGCCACGACTTCAGACTAAACACAACAAGTGACTGACAATTTGTAGATGGCCAGGGCCCAGGATGACATCAAAGTTTCGGAGCTCCAGGTGATTTGAGTTTGCCCTTTATGATTCTATGATTGAACCAAGGGTTGTGCCGCTTCAAGACCGTCTTGACATTGAGAGGCGGCGAAGGTGGAGCCTCTGGAATGGTGTGCACGCTAGAACAGAACACAGTGCAACTAGGGTATTGAATGCCGCCCACTATAGACACGGTTTTCCGAAGGCTCGCACGCTCAGAGTGCTGGGACTTGAAGACTTGAAGATGGGAATTGCGAGATGACCAAACTCTGGCCAAGTTGTCCTCAAATGGTGCCGGCAGCGAGCGCCGCAGAGGCTGCCGGCTTCAGGGAAGTCTCCGCTCCCATTAAAGGCTGTGGGCCATGTTGGGCCCTGTAAGCTTCTAGACTTCTAGAGCAGTGAGCAGCGTACTACCCTCAGTGGCGACCGGGGTGCTTGCTTTGGAGCCTCGTGCACGAGGCCTTCGGGGAAAGGTTTCTTAGCTTTGGCGCATTTTTTGTAAATTGGCGAGGCTTCTGAGACTCGTTTCCTGTGGGTGCCCTCAAGCCGAGCCGCTCTATGATGATGGTGGTGCTGATGATGATGATGATGATGGTGGTTTCGCATGATTGCTATTTCCATGCTGATAGCGTACTGTAGTTGGTGAGATTACTGTTGTTGCCTTTCTGCTTCTTCTTCTGCTTATTGCCATGCTTCTCATTTTATTTTGACTGCTATTACAGTTACAGAGAGCCCTGAGGCAGATGCCAAGAGAACAGAAAAGCCCCGAACTCTCCAGGCCGAGCTGCTGGCAACGCCCTTTGGTCAGCCTGGCGCCAGGAGGTCCTAAGCTTTACATTCCATAAAGTATATTCCATCCCATATTGCACACTGTAGTCTCTTATAGTATAGCAAAGTATTCTTTTTGTTAGTAGCGCCTCGTTTGAGTGGCAAGACCCAGCGACGACGAAAGGGTGTTCGACTGGACGCTAAGACGACGGTCCGCGGATCCCGTTGCAATGTTGCCAAGTGCTCCAGTAGTGGTATCAGCGATGCAACTGCTCGGTGCAGCAAACCTTCAGAGGGCAAGTACAAAATTAAAAGTCTTGCAGTGCCCCGTATGCCAGCAGCTTCATCAAGCACCATCTGCAGAGTTGCTGAAGATCAGGGACGGCCTTGTCCGAAGAATGATCACGCTTCAGAGTTCATGTCCTGTCTATCGTACAGCTTAGAGTGCGACCCTTGCTGCGAAAATCCAACCAAGCACACTGCTGAGGTTGCTGACGGAACTATCCTGCTCCCCAAAGATGCCGCCAGGGGCCCGATTGGAACTACCGCATGATGTGAGTGAGGGCTGCCGAGAGTTTGGTTGATTCTCGTCATGTATGTATGTATGCAGACATGCATGTCTATTTGTTTGTTTCTATGTCCATAAGGGAATGTATGCACGTATGCCTTGTTTGTCTGTTTGTGTGTATTCATGTTTGTGTAAATGTGTGTGCGTGTGCGCGGGAAATGCGCAAACCTGTTATCTTGACAAATCATGCACTTTGCGCCACTCCTAATCGGAACAAGAACCTTAAGCTGGGCTAAGCCTCAAACGGCCATTTTGATATCGAACGCCTGCGCCGGCAACCCGAAAAGCTAAAAGACCCCAAATGCCAGAGATATTTTCCGCGAGTCTCAGCCTTCAGCCGTTCACTCACTTCCGTCACGTCTGAAGTCCTTAGCCCTCAAGCCGAGACCCGAACCCTAACACTCTTGCTGACAAAAACGAGGGGATATAGAAAGCCTTAACACTCCACACCCTACACCTCCAAACCCAAACCCCTAAAATCCTAAACCCTAAACCCCACCTAAACCCTAACCCCCCCCCCCCCCCCCCACACTCAAATAAAGCCCAAAAGCCGTAAACCCACAAAGCCCGAAGACTCAATGCACGCGGCGCCGAGTCTCTCCCTCTCGGGCCGTCTATTGGAGCTGGCAGTCCGGCTCAGCCAGAGATGTGAGGTTTAGAGATTGAGGGTTTAGGGATTCAGGGTTTAGGGATTTAGGGTTTAATAGGGCTTAGGTGAGGGTTTTCGAGATCTGCTTTGGGTTTGGCGGGGTTGCGTCTTTTTGCGTTTTGGGCGGGTTTAGCTTTTTATCTGATGTTTGGGGCTTGGTGTTGTGATTTAGATATTTGGGTCGGGTGGATTGAGTTTAGGACTAGAACTTTCGGGTTGCGTGGGTTTACGGAACGAGGCTGGGTTCTGGGCCTTTGGCGTTTGGTTTAAGGATTGTCGGGGTCGTGAGCTTCGGATTGACAGGCCGCAGGACCTGCGATTTGGTGGCACTCAGACGGCTGTCCGGGTTGCACGGCTGCTGATTCCGGTTATGAAAGATCCAGAAATCAGAACCAAGCCTAAACTAAGAGCCCGAACTCAGGCACTCGTGTTGGCGAACTCCGTGACCTCCGACACAGTGGGAGTGGTTCTCTTTGCAGTGCGAATCGCAGTGCGTACGGGCCCCAAGAAAAGTGGGGGCTGGAGTCTACAGGTTAAGCTACAGTACATCTCTATTTTGGCTTGGCTCCAGTTGTTATCAGTGCGTATTGCTCTGCGCCCGTGTTAGCCATAGCAGCAAGCAGCAGGAGAAACGCCCGATGCAGGAGAACATGCCCGAAGAGCACCTTGAGCCCCGATTCAGATTTATGAAACTAGACCCCTCAATCAATCTGCTTCCCCAGATGTTCTACTGGCACCCAGCCCTGGAATGATCAAAGCTCTGCTCTGCTGAATCCTTCAACTCATTGGACACATGGCCCACCAAGGTGTCGAGTCAGCCACATCCCTCCTGCTGAGGGCACACAGTGGGGGCATCACGGTGCGCGCCCCAAAAGGGTTGCAGAATAGGAAGAGACAGAACATGTTTCTGTTGTTGAAGCAGTCGTCGCAGTGGTCGCTGTATGTATCGTCACACGCATAAGCACTGCTTTCTGTTGTTGCAGCGGTCAAAGTCGCAGGCACCACAGTCGTCGTTGCATGAGTATTCGCATTAGTAGTAGAATTTGCATCACTGGCTTCCTAGTGGTAGTCGTATTTCATAATGTTACTAATGTTCGCACTATGTTATATGATTATACGCATTCGCACTAATGATAAGTTATGGTTAGGATGCAGATTGCCATGAGCAGTTTTCGGAATAGTGTTAGCATTGTTCGGCATTAGCAGCGTGGGGTTTAGTAATCAATCGGGTTGCATCAGTAGCCGTGGTAGCGGCAGAGGTAGCAGTAACCGCAGTCGTCGTTGTAGCAGCAGTAGTGGTCGTCGTGGTGGTAGTGGTGGTGGGAGGAGCAAATCCAGGATTTCCTGTTTCACAGAGCCCTGTCTTCCGGGATTTCCTGTTTCATAGAACTCTGTCCTGGACCGTTGTCTTAATCCCTCGACCTCAAAGCCGAGTCACCAAGCTGTGCCAGTCGTCGCCGCTCCTCGCAGCTTCCTTGAACATGAGCGAGTGCCGAGCCCGAGGGGAAGGGAAGCTTGCGAATTTAGGGAACGTTGCCGGAAGCTTTGCAGGCTTTGGCATGTAGGGTCCCACTCAGCTCCCTTCCATCCTCTGAGATTTCCCATAATGGTCTGTATGAATTTTGCTGGCCTGGTTACTATCCAGTGCTGGAATACTGCAGATGGACTCGTGGTTGATCGCAGTGGGGTTAGAAGCTACAGGAACTGTCTTAAAGCCGAGGCCTCACTGCAACTGCAGGTTGTTGCCTTGAGTCCTCGGACCTGTGCTGTCTCTGAGGACGGTCCTTGCGGAACTGCGGTCAGGCAAGCAGTACATCCGTGTGGGAGCCTGGTAATCCATCACAGTATACTGTGAAGCATGGCGAGGGCTGTGGTTTCACTTACTACTCATGACTACTCTCGTGCTTTCTCCTCAGGTCCTTCTTATTGTGGCACTTAACGATGACAGTGGCCATCATCGTCGTTCCATGCGGCGGATATCGTTGCTACATTGTGCAACTATGGTACAGGAGCAATGCTTAAACCACTACCAGCATTTCTGTGGCTGCTATTTCTATGCTTCTTCTTTACCGCCACTGCTGCTGCTGCTGCTGCCACAACTACTACTGCCACGACGACGACTACTGCTGTCTCACAGCTGGTACTTTCTGTTGTGTTACGGAAGATGATATAAATCCTGCACTACCTTAAGGACCCTAAACTATGGGAATTATGGTATGGGTCATGCAGGATTTATATCATCAACCGTAGTGCCGTCGGGTCTGACCCTGTGGGAATCTTTCAGGCTCTGCTCTGCAGCTCGAATTGTTTCTCAAGCATTGTACTTTACATGGGCGGCCAATCTTCAAAGGGCGGCATGACGGCCGAGCTTATTGGCAAGGCCAGGGAGCACTATCCGTGTATTGATTGGGCACAAACCCCTAAACCCTACGCTCGCTCTCGCCATTTCAGTGCCATGCCATTAGAAGATTAAGCGAGCGTTCCCCTGTTGCATCTTTGGATGCACCTTGCATCCAAAGCTTTATCGTTGTGCTTGGCGTTGGCCCGCAACCCATAATCCTGCCTTCTGCGAGACCCCAGAGCGTTGATGAACTCTAAGTCTGCAGATGTTGAGTTCAATGTCAAACCCCAAAGCTCAAAAACCCAAGCCCTCACCAGGATCCCCCTGACTTCGAGATGACCTTGGAAGATGCCTAGACAGCATCTTGCGGTTAGGGCTTCAGGGGTTTTCGGTAGTCTTCGAGGCTTTGTCAGGATTGGGTTTGTAAGGATTTGGGTTCAGATTGTTGGTGTCTAAAATTGAAAGCGGTGGATGATCTCTGGGGTGTGACAAGCAGAACCAGGAGCCTGTGCCCATGGCTTTTGGTAGCTGCCACAATCACCATTGCCATCGTCATCTTGAATGTGCTCGTCGCCACTAGCATCATCATCGCCATCATCATCGTCATCACCATCACATGAACACCAGCACCAACGGGTAACCCAGCCAAGGACGGGTACCGATCCCTAGTAGCAGGCTTGCTCTGAGAAGCGGCTGAGGATGGCTCCACCAAGAAGCTTTCAGACTTCCTGAAGGCAGAGCCCAGCAAGCCTGTGATCATCGACTTCTATGCGAACTTCTGACCTGCATGCGGGCCAGCCGCTACTGAGACTCAGCGGCACCCTAACCAAAATGTGTTACTTTCTGCCCGGTGCCCATTATGCCCTCGTCAACTCAAGAGGAGCATCGAGTTTCAGGTGAAACTCAGCAGCTTAGGAGATGAACAGCCTCGCTGAGACACACGGGGACAACGCCGTGTTTCTGCTGGTGAACGTTAGAACGGTGGCAGATGCCAAGAAGCACCTTGGAGGAAGACTGTTCGGCGGAATGCAAGTCCGTCAAGCTCCGGAATATCGGGATCATAACCGGTAGGTAACGTCAACAATCAATCCGAGTGCTGCAGATCACAACGGCTTAAAACGTGCAGCAGTTGTGCAAAAGTAAGCAGAAAACCACACTGCCCCACGCCACTGCTCTTCAGCCTGCCTTCTCATGTGCTGTGCAATCGGACTTGTAAGGGCCTGCAAAAAGCCCCAAATCATCCACATGCGACTTTTTGGTGGGGTCAGGCAGCCCCCCATCGTGTTGGTCTCCGAAACCTGTGTAGAAGCCTCGTCTTCCCAGAGCTCGAACCTTGAGCACACTTAAGGTCAAACCGCAAGTCCGCCAGTGAATAAACCGAAGTCCCGATCCCAAAGTTTGCTCAGGTATAAAGAAGACAAGAAGCTCCACAGTGGCAAGATGGTCCATTGTGCGGCAAGGCCGCCTGCGGAGTACGGCCTCAAGTATCTTGGCTGACAGCAAACTGGGAGGAGTTGGAACCCCATGGGGAGCCTGGGCTCTCAACCCTGAGTCGTTACGAGGTACCACTGGGCAATGTTCCTGTCACCTTCCGAAGGTTTCTTTGCCAGAGTTACACTCTTGAATCGCTTGACTTTTCTGCTCCATGCGTTCACTACGTGTGCCGGAGCTGCTTCTGCTGATTCTGCTGCCCTTGCTCCGACTCCTGCTCGTCTGACTGCTACGATGACACCGCCTCCTCCCACTTGGTTCTCTTACTGCTACTGCTAGTGCTACTGCTACTGCTGCTGCTGCTGCTACTGCTGCTGTTGGCGCTACGACGACAAACGGCTCTGGAATTTCCAGGTACATCCCCCACAAGACGCTTATTGACAAGAACGGCAAGGTGGGGAGGGGAGGGTGCCAGGCAGGTGGCGGCACGTAGAAGAAACAGTAGATCAGTTTGTTCGTTCTATCAATGCCTTTTCGTGAACCTTCTAGTCGCTGTAGCTGCATCTATCGCTACAAGGATTACTAAGTCATGCATGGACACGGTTGCTGCTGTCCTGAACAAGCCCGGCTCTTGCAGACCTGCAGCCTTTGGGGATGCAGGGTCCTTGGCCCCTGACTGAGACTTCAGGTCGTCAAGAACTTTGATGGCGTGAATTTGGCGTCGGATGTTGCCGGACTTGTGTAGGTCAGGATGTGAAGTCTCGTATCGGGAGACCGTGTGGGATGTAGTGGCCCCTAAGCCCTATTCAGCTAAGCCCTAAAGTCAGTCGAAGTCAGAGGCTGCATCCCGAGAGTCCTGGTCTCACCTCCCTTAGGTGACGACTGCCACAGTGTGGCATCTGAGAGAAGGTAGGTGAGCCTTGGCTGCTAGCCGATGCAAGCCCGCACTGACGCCGAAATCCACTTACCGATCAGGTCTGAAGGCCCGAATCACCGATAGCAGCAGTGCTCGAAACCATCCCAGAACCCTAGCTCCGCAGCAAATCTTCGCTGAAGGCGAGTTGCCCTGACTGGGCACACATGCCGTGAGCAAGCTTTCACTCATAGTTCTGTCGCATGCCAGGCGCGCAGGCTTGGCAATGCGTCTCGGAAGATACCCGGCCCGCTACAAGACCAACACCCGATATCTCCTAAGAACCCTTCCCCTGATCATGGAACAGCTGCTAACATAAAATGATACTGGAACCCTTGTAGAGCCCCTTACTGTATGACATCCACTGATTCTTGGACTCCTAGACGACCGGTCGTCCGCCACTGCGTAATGCTTTGCGTTCGTCCCAAGAGTGGAAGGAAAAAACATCCGCCACCAGAAGATGCATTGTCTTCGGAGGGGATACAGGGTGGAGTGTAACGAGTCTTCTACTTGGGGTTTCCCAGTTTCCATCCTGCAACCAGAACACGAGCTTTGAAATGCCATCACACTGGGACCAGAGACCTTCAGCGGGTGTGATCCCTCCGACGAGTTGCAACACGATCTCCGACAATCTTGATATTATGTTGTTTCATGCTGTAAATGTGTAGGCTGAAGTGCGGTTCCATAGTCTAGTCGCGGAGACGGTCCAGACAGTCTCACGACCACAATCCCCAACACACGGACAAGAATTCGCACAAACTCCGCGTGGCCAGGCATCGAGTCCTTAAGCACTTTCCCCGCAAACTTACCCGCAGCACTCCCAAGCCCCAAGCTCCCAACTTTCATGTCCCGTGCGGCACCATGGGCATCCCGCGCACGGCTGCTGGCGAAGCTTCGTCCTTATGCCGCAGCGGGCGCGACCGAGGCAAAGCTGTGAAGAAATGACTTCACTAGGCTTGGTTTTGCCGCTGTATGAACGGAGTAAAGTGCGAGTTGTTGTGGCTTTGATGTTGTTGCGGGACAGGCGATGTTTAGGATGTCGGGTTCCGGGTTCCGGTGCGCCGGGTGTTGGATAGACTTAAACATATTTTGAGAGAGGGTGTTTAGGTAGCAAACACCTCAGGCGTCGAGGAGCGCCCTCAGTGTTCCTAAAAAATTGAGAGCCTTGCAGAAAAGTGCTATTTGCGACTTTCCCTTCGCTACCTCGTCGGGTGCAGCGGAGGCTGGAAAAGCCCCTGTGACGTTCCTGCCCGAGGCTCTCAGAGCAGCTCCTGCGGGGCTCTTGCCTTGGGCTTGGTTCGAGCTTTTCATTCAAGGGGTTGACCTCGAGCAGGGTCGAGGTTTCAGGTTCGAGTTCTGCTGCTCTACTTTGATCAGAGCTCAGGTGCGACTGGGAGCTTAGGAATGGGAGTGAAGGGACTCAGGCTGTAAGGGCACCGGGAGCCCGCCACCTTTCCACTGACGCCAGTGCTATTGGCTGTCGAGAACTGGCACTTGTCTCGCAACCGTCAGCTCTCTACGGCTAATACTACATGAATTTCGACTGCCGATCTCGGGCTCCGATCTTTGAGAAAGCGGCAGGTCTGCGGCCACGTTCGGGGCTTCGCCCCTGCGGAGCTTCGCCTGGTCTTAGCCGCCTTTGCAGGCCACCGGCAGGCGCTCTGGCTCAGGCCCGGTAATCAAGCAGCGAAATACACATCCCTGATACAACGAATCGAAAGGCAATGCAAGCTCTGGACAGCAGGCTTCTTGTACATTGGGGTTGGCCATTATTCCGAATGATGTGCTGTTGCAACAGAACGGTGTAATATCGGATCATCCCAGCGCAGCTGCGACTTTGATGCCTTACATGCCGCTCCGACATGTCTTGCATCGCGAGGCCGAACAAAGACGAGGGCGGCCAGGCCTGGTAAACGACATGGTTTCGCAGTTTTCCAGCAGGGACTTGGGGTTCGGACGCTTCGAGGATACGCCAGAAGCTGCTGTGACATTGCAGGACCGGACCCTCTGCAGGCTTGCAGGGGCAGGGGTTCTTGTCGCGTCGTTGTGAAATAGATAGAATAGATGAGCAGCACCAAGCCCATTTTCGAGCCTGTCCATCCCTATCTATCCATCCGTCTTTCTCTCTCTGTTTGGGGCTGTTCGCAATTTTTTGCAGCTTTTCTGTTTCCCTGTGCAGTTGTCTCTGCGCTCTGCATCTCTGCCCATATTTCTCCTCTCCTCTCCTCTCCTCTCCTCTCCTCTCCTCCCCTCCCCTCCCCTCTCCTCCCCTCCCCTCTCCTCTCCTCTCTCTCTCTCTCTCTCGCTCTCGCTCTCGCTCTCTCTCTCTCTCTCTCTCTCTCTCTCTCTCTCTCTCTTTTTTGTCTTTGTTTGATATTCTTCTTGTCCCGCTTGCTAGTGCCAGGTATCAGTCTCGCCGGTGATGCCTTCAGTTCTGAAGCCCTCCTGTATCGAGCAAGCATGAACTGGACTTAAGACGCTGTTTTCTCCTGACCGCCCCGACAGAATCGCAAAGCATCCAGCCAAAACTCGTCCCAGAGCCACTACCCCAAAGCACTGAAACCGAAGCCCCGGAACCTGAGCCCCGGAGCCCCTAAACCGATGCTTCAATCGTCGAAGCCCGGAGGACCTGGTCCTGCAGCTCCTCGTGGGGGGCTCACGGCTCGGCAACCCGCAGCAGCTACTCGAGACCGGAGAGGCCCCGGACGGGAGCCAACCGAAACTCCGAAGAGATGGGGACTTCGTTGACCTCGTTGTAGTCAGAAGGAAGAACGATGAGAGTGCGGAGAGGGAGAAGAACTATGTCCATACCTCGAAGTAGGAAGGTAAGGATTGAATGGCAGTGTATGGTACCAACCGCACAGCAATCATGGAGCATGTATGATGGTATTCGAGTGGTGTACCTGGTTGGGTGCAGAGAGGCACGCCCTCAGGTCCCGCTACTTAGACATGGGACCTAGACACATCACAGGCTGAAACTTAAGCGTCAAGCTTGGACAGCTGCCATGACCCTCAGCCCTAAGCCCTTGAGGGCAATAGCTGCACTGCAGGGCAGCAGTCGAGGCTCCTGCGCTAGAGGTTAGATCATCCAGGTTTTGTAAGCTGCTTTGGGGACTGGAGCTTTGAAACGTCCTGGTTTTTGGGGATTTAAAAACCAGTGAAACCCTAAACATCCCTAAACCCTCAACTCAGCATCCTTGGGGTTCATTCCCCACGAGAGACTCGCAGAGAGCAGGCCGTCTCGATGCACGCTCCCTGCCGCTTGTATTCAGAATGACACCAGGGCTTTAGGAGTTTCGGGTTCAGTCGAGTATGGGTCTTCTCACCAGAGAGTAGCTACGAGCTCTTTGTGACGCTGCAGACGAGTCAGTGCACTTGTCAAAGGCCTTTCTGCCTTGCTCGCATTTACCCGCACCGTGGTTTGCGTGGGAGAATGAAATTCATGTCAAGCTGATCAAAGAAGTTGTTTCGTCTTGTCTTATTTGCACGGATGGGTACTGCATCTTCCAAGGCATACTCTAACCATTAAGTTGGTTTGGACAGTGCCTGACACTTCTGCTCCGCGCCCCTTAGCCGACTCGGCTTGTTGGGCGACTTTCCCCGCAACACCCTGCCACCCCCCTCGCCGGAAGCTCCTGCAGCCGAGGTACCTCGCGCTTGGCATCCGAGTGGGGGTCCTAGTTGTGCAGCTCACCAACTCATATCAGCGCCATAAGCAGCATCAGATATCATCAGCACCATGCATCAGGTTCTTCTTTTTCATCCTTCATCCTTTTATCCTTCATCCTTCATCCCTCATCCATCAGCCTGCATCCTCCTCCTCCTCCTCCTCCTCCTCCTCCTCCTCCTCCTGCATGATGACCAACATCATGTTCGGAAGCTTGAATGCCAATCAGAATCATGCTAACCATACTGGCCTTCGGGGGTTGCCTAAAGGTCGGCTTTGACAGCTCCAGGCCTTCAGGGCTTGGGGTTGTTGCGCGGGCCCTGCCTAATCACCTGACCCATGTTCTAACACGGTGCAGGGTTCAGAAGCCCCGCAATCCTGCAACTCCCAACTGTCGAATTTGTCGAGTTACCTGAGTCGTCACTTGCCCCGCAGGTTTTGGGTGGTCTTCGCGGAGCGAGTGACCCGCCTGGCAGGCTCCGAAAGCTTGGAGGGGCAGCAGATGGCCTGGGCCCGGTTCCCAGCCTAGCTCCGGCAGTTTTGTAAGATGGGTTGTTCTGCAAGCTGGGGTTTGTTGTGTTAGGTGCAGAGTGGAGCTTGTCAAGCATGCGGCAAGAGTCTGAATGCATGTTGTTTCCTCCCGTGGTTGCAAGGTCTTCTCCACCTGTGCACGTTGGACGCGACGATGCTTCGCAGTCGTTTCGCCAAGCTGGGGTCACATGATCCGAGACCTGGCACAATCTCCCTCTGGGATTGGACTTCCTTCAAGTCACCCTGCAACGTGTGAGTCACTGAAAGCTGCGAGGAACCCTCGGGGGCAGACTGGCAGAGCCGGAGAACTTGAGCAAGCTTCAACTTCCTGAGGCCGGATTCCAACGACGACGTTAGTCGTGCCAATGCTGTGCTGCTGCTGCTACTGCTGCTACTACTACTGCTTAATGGTCCGGCTCCTGCTGCTGGTGCATACTTCGACGACGCATGGTTGCTGCTGCCAGTGATAGTCGTGCAGTACTACCAGTACGAACATTCGTACCATTACTCCGACCACGAGCACAAGGATCACTTCTAGTACTTTTTCTGTTGTTAGTCCGCACTATTGCCGCTGGAACAAATTCGACAGTCTATCATATGTCTATCATCATTAAGGTTTCCTTAGTCGTTCTTGTCCAGACCACTGCTGGCAGCATTGTCGCTCAAGGCCTGCTATCACCTGCTTTACGAGTTTTTTTACCCTGACCATAGAAGACTCGCCGAATGTCCCATGTGAATTCAGACGGTTCCTCACAGGATATGTGTATCCTGAAACCAACATGGTATTTTTCTTTCTGTTGATGTTACCAACATGATTGCCACATCGCCGTCGAATGTGATTATCAGCATTGCTACAGCTATCGCCCCTAGTGCCTCAAAACTGTTTCGATCATGAGCCACATCGCTGGGAAGGTTATGCCAATGTACGTTTAGATGGCGGCAGTTTCCGTTGTGCGCTTCTGGAAAGAGTGTCCTTGTCATCTAGCTCTTCTTCTTAGTCTTATCCTGCTGTTTTTTGTTGTTGCAGTTGCTGTTGTTGCAGTTGCATTTGCAGTTGCTGTTGCTGTTGTAGTTGTCGTTGTTGGTGGTGGTTGTGGTGGTGATGATGATGCTGCTCTTAGTATTATGGCTCTTCCTGTTTGTCACGGTTTATCCTGATCCGGATGCCGAAGACGAGAAGCTTCCCCTTCCCCTCCGCCACGAACTCCAAGCTCAAGCCTCGCCAAGCCCAGGTGGTTGCCTTGGCCAAAGATGCCGCGCACCTCGGAGAGCCCCAGCCGAGGCTCTTGGAGGGGTGGTGCTTTGAGGCTCAAGTGAGGGATGTTCTGTGGTGGTGTCATAGAAGCCTGATCAGTTGCAACATTGCAAATACTGTTGTTCCTTAGGTTTGCTTATTATAGCTTGAATAGAATATGGCCAGAAACACTGTTAAGGACCCCTGTAGTAACGTAACTGACAAGATTGGAGCTCGCGAGCATGTCAGTGGATCCTTAAAACGGAGGCCGGTTCCAGCAGGGCGACTACTGCTTCAGTAGGCTGATGTCAGATGTAGCCCAACATCTGTTAGGCGTTGTCCTGGTGTAAAACTGAGGAGAGTGTCGAACGCATCCGGATCACAGATTCAAAAGTCTAGCGCAAGAGTTGATGTCTTGGGGCCTTTCAAGTCGGGTCCGCGGGCTTCGGGTGTGAGGTCCAGCATGTTGAGGACAATAAAGGAGCATCAGCACCTGCAGGAGTATGCTTCTCTATAGAATTGCAGAAATTAAGCCCAGGCAGCTTACTCGCTTAGGTAGCTATAGGGCAGCGATCAGGGTTTTTCGAGCTTTGGACTTTACGGCTTCATGGGTTGGATTTTTGCTTCATGGGCCCTCAGGCGGGTTCGGGGAAGTCAAGCGGTTCTTGCTTGCTTGATGTCGCTTGATGTCGAGTTTGACATATCGGTCTGAATACCTAGTAGCAGTATCGCAGCAGAATTTTCCTATATCTCTGCTGTAATATGCTACAACACCCCATTCACCAGGTCACCCGTCCATTGCGAGGCTCGCGGCTGCCGTCGGCCGTCGGGTTGGCTTGCCAGAAAGCCATGGTGGGAGGGCTCCCTGGATGCTGAAAGCCGGGAGTTTGGGGGCAGTTTGCGGATTGGTTTAGGGTCTAGGGCGAAGTGTTTTAGGGATTAGGGTTTCAGAAGCAAGAATGGTTGGGTTCAAGTCATCAGTTCCAGAGCTTCCCCACCTTCTCCGTACAGAGTTGCTCCCTTCGCGCTCTCAAGAGAGACCTCAGTGGCCACCCGAACCGTTTCTCCCCGAAAAAGAAGGAAAGAGAGAGAGAGAGAGAAAGAGAGCTAAGCGTGCCCTGTCCTTTGTCTGAAGTTTCTGAACTGGTTGCTGTCAAAATCAGGACCGCGGGATGCATGACCTGAGCCCGCAAGACCTGATCGACCTCATCGGCGCTGCTGGCTCCCTTGGTGGCCGGCTGCACATGATGACCCGCGCCTTCTCGAACCAGTTGGAACCACGCCACCCGGCTATTCCCGAAGTCCCAAAGGGGAGCACCTGGGCCTACGAAGCTGCAGGCATGCCGGAGCTGCCGACGTCTTCGTTGGCCCAGCTTTGCTCGCACTTGGGAGCCCTGAGCCTGGGCAAGTGGTGTTTATGTGCCGTGAAGTGTAGCGACTTCGAACACCCGTCGATCCAAGTAACAGTTGTGCTCGTAGCCGTGATGGCGTGGAAGTGTCGAAGCGCTGTTGGCAGGCAGCTGGGGGAGGAGCAGGGGGGGAGGCGGAGGACGAGGAGCAGGAGGAGTTGGAGGAGGAGGAGGAGGAGGAGGGGCAGTAGCAGGAGCCGGAGCAGGGCAGTAGCAGCAGCCCTCATTCGTCCTTTCCTAGTGCCACTTATTCGCCAAGGAGCATGTTTCCGCAGCGTCTCACGGCAACGCTCGAGCACGTGCTCGCCGAACGACTGAAACAGGAGCCGCTTCTGGACTCAAAGATCGAAAGCTACAGATAAATCTGACCCCCACCCATTACAACAAACTACAGGTTTGATGCGAGCCCTTGTAGGACCCTCTTACTAGAGGAATCATATTCGCATCATTCAGGTTCACTGTCCACAACTCCATAAAACCGATAGATGCCCTTGCAAATCCTCTTACGCCCTATAAGTAACAGCCCATGTAAATCCGAATAGAGCCATATTTTCAAAGGCTCGAGGCTGCCTCGGCGCTGAAGCTCCTGCGCGCCTTTGGCCGACTCCGCTGGCGGGCCCCTGGCGTGCCTCCAGTCGACACAGTGATAAGAGTGATACATATTTCATCACCCTAGTATGTGTTTCTCCATCTATCTGTCTATCTGTCTGTATATATATATATATATATATATACAAAGACGATGTACTGTAGGTGTATGTATAAAACACGCATATATATATATATATGTATACATGTATGTTTTTTATATTCTGTAAAGATATATGTATGTATTTGGATATATGTAAATAGATAAATATATAAATATACAAAAATATAAGCTTATAGAAGTAGAAGTTTATAAAGTTATAAATATGTAAATAAGTAAATAAATAAATAAGTAATATATATATATATATATATATATTTACACATACATATACATATTTACATATACACACATATAAATATATAAGTGTGTGTATATATACATACACATATAAATATATAAGTATAAGTATAGTTACATACATATATAAGTATAAATATATAAATATATAAATATAAATATCTATATATGTATTTTTCTGGGTGAATCCTTGTTCTCAGGGTCACAGAATTACACAAAATGCAGGGGGCCATCCCTCTTGTCTTTGGTGGATGGCCAACGAACAGGCACCTGCACTATAAGAGTCGAAAATCAAATTGCAGAGCAAATGAAGATATTCTTCAAATTCAGAGAGATGCAACAGGATGAAAGAGTGAGCATGAACAGATTGGAAAAGCAGATGAGACTAGCTTGCTAAACCATGGTATGACTTCGGTCAAATTGAGGGTCACTCTAAGTTTATTTGTGCGTGGTGTGTGTGTGTGTGTGATGTGTGTGTTTACGAATATAGGCTCATACAGGTGCATGCGCGCATGCATGTATACTGCTTACGTACACGCATGCATGCATACATACATACGTACATCCACGCACGGAGACACACATGCAGAAAAAATACTCGTACTGAGCAGTGGCAAAAATTGGAATGGCTCCATACACTGAACGAGCAGCAACAACAAAGCATGGACTGGGATGGGAGCTGTTTGAAGTAAGACAGACACGCTTTCGGAGTTATTGTGTGGATGGAGGGAATGATTTTGCAACTGCATGCTTTGAGTCTCAGAGCATAGATTTTGGGTTTCGGTTCTCAAGACCTGACCTTGGATTGCGAGAGCTCAGACTTCTGCAGTTCGTCGTGAGCATGCTGTAGTGCCTTCTCTAGGTCGAGGGTGTGTGCCGAACATGCTGGAAGACGAGAGAAGATGAACGCCACAGGGATTTCAATCGTGAGGAAACAGTCCACTTCGTATCGTCCCACCAGCTCGCCAGCCAATCTACTAGTAGCGGGATAAACGTGGAAGGTGCTGGGCCCTGTGCTGGCGCGCCCTGGCCGGAGCCAGTGATGTCACTCATCTTGCTCTCGTCGCTTGATGAGTTGCTGTTCTTGGATGCACCTTGTGCAAAGCTGTTCTGCAAAGCTGCGCTTTCTTTTTACGGCCAACATGTTCACACGGATGTTCACCGCGGTCAAAACTTTCGCGATAGTCCTTGCATCTTAAAAGCTTGTCAACCGTTTTGAATCAACACCCTTTGTGACTTGGTTTCAAAGTCCTGATGCCCTTTGCACAGCAGACCTTGCAACCAAAGTCGCCCTCGAGCTTCGAAGCTTCGTTCTTCAGCTCCGGCCCTGAATCACTGAAGTCGCTCATCAAAGAGCTCGGCTTGAAGTTCCAACTTCATAGACCCGAAAGCCCAGGCACACCAACTCCAGAATCCGTGCAAAACCAAGAAGACACCAGTCCAGGTGCCTAAGGAAGCCCACATCCATGGATGCCCTGGGCGGTGCAGCGCTGGGAAGCCTTCTCTACGAGCTCCGCAGCTGGCAGACTGTAGCCTTGGGAGGGCTCTGATGCGCAGCACTACATGCATGCTGCAGACGGTTTTCGCGGTGCACTTCGGTAGGGGCGGGTTTGCGACCATGGAGCTTGTCCGGTTGAGCACGTGTGGGGTTTTGGCAGCACTGGTGCAGTCATGCCATCGTTGCGAAGGTTGCGCAGCATACCAAGACACCGCTTTGCCTTAGCACGGCCACGACGGCAGCAATTCGTATATTTGCACCATCACCATCACTGTCGCTGTCTTTGCTCTTGTCTTCTGACCATCAGCCGTCAGCTGCAGCAAGAGATGTAAGGAAGGGGCGCAGCCGAGGCTATACAGACTGGACATATGGGACGAGGAAGCAGCCAGCGCGGTCTGCCAGAGGCAGACACTGCGGCTGCCTTTGATCACCAGCAAAACAAGCACGGGTTTAGGTCGAGACAGCTTCATTCCGCACCAGCCTGACATGGCCCCAAAGCCCAGGCTCGAAATGCTCAAAGCGAAACTTGAGAGGCTTCGCGGTCCCCCATTGGACAGCGACTTGGACGACCCCCGGAATGGTGCAGCTCGGCCAACAGCAGAACACAGACCGAAGACCCAGTCCCAGAACCCCGCAACGCCCAAACCGCCCGGGAGAATGGTTCGTCGTGTCGCAAGGTCTCAGGATGATGAGGTTGAAAAAGCCCCCTCCGTCGAAATGCCTGCCCTCCACATGGAATCCAGAATCCGACAGACCAAGTTCCTAAACCTTAGATCCACACCAAAATACTGAGCATGAAGACTATACTATAGTGACTATACCGTCTATCCACATGAGCCAAAATTCTGACAGGCCCTGCACATGGTGTCCTCGCTGCCCTGCAAGACAGCGGCCAACGTTCTTCTTGCAATGAGCCACCCGGGCGAGATTTGGAGCCCCAGACCCTTCTCTTTGACCAAGTAGTCATCGTCGCACCGCATGTCAGCTTAATGTGTTTCTATCCCTTGGCAAGCAATGTCTAGCTTCCAAACAGTCGCAGGCTACTTCGCGGTTCCCGACAAGGATCTCCACAGACGCCTCGTCCAGGAGTCCCCTCGATACAAAGCTCTTCGACACCGAAGCATTGCCGCTGGAAATGCGTCTGACCTATGCTCGAGACTGACCATCGACATTACAAGCATAGAACTTCTACCGTCTTGGACATCCTCGCCTTGCCAGGAGCTTCTCCGCGCAAAGGATCTGCCTCAGGAAGCCATGTACCAGGCCAGTTTACAATCTCAAGATCCTTGAGAAGTTGGGTCCTTCCTCATCTTCACTATCTGCCCAAGACCCTCAAAACGTCCTTTCAATGGTGGCCACTCCCCCAACGCCCATACAAACAGCACTAAACCTCAAACCGTAAGCCGCAAACCCGGAAGCTTTGAACCCCAGACCCCATCCTGAAGCCCTCAGCTTGACACTGACAGCAGCTAGGCCCTAGGCAGGGAGCCCCCGACTTCAGGTGAAGACTTTTGAGATGGCGATCCGTCCCCTGCCCAGCGCTTTCAGATGTTCAAGGGCTCAGAGGCTCAGAGGCTCAGAGGCTCAGAGGCTCAGAGGCTCAGAGGCTCCAGTGCTTTGGCCTGGGCTTTGTGCTTTGAGTTACCGCATGCAGCATGGACATTGCCACTCCCGAGATTGTTGCTTTGAGAAACCGCCTCGCCCTAGCCTCGAAGTTGTTCTCCCACTCTCAGGCCTGGGCCACGCAGCAGTTTCTCTCCAGGACCGGGCGGCTTTGGATTACCGCAGGGCACTGCAATCCGGCAGAGTTGCTATTCGCTCGTCTGCTCGAGCACTTTGGATGACCGCAGGCTGGTCTGAGTTGTAGTCACTGTCCTTGAAAGCAACATGAACCGTCGAGCCTTGAACTCGAGGGGCCCTCAACCCCCCTCTTGAACTCCCCGAGACCGCCGAGCCCTTCAGGACCTCGGCGGTCTGGCCGCGCGCTGGCTCTTCAGCGTGCGCGGCGCCACGGGCGCACCGGAGCTGCGGGGAGAGTCTGCCTTCGCAGATGAGGTTTCCCAGGTGGCGAGGCACCCGAGTTTTTTGAGTTTTTGCAGGGTGTTACAACACACAGCAAAGTATCCTAGAGTATATGCTGAATCTTGTAATTATAGTATACTATCATCTAGTAAATAGTACAATGCGATTCAATCTAACACAGTAACATAGTACAATACATTAAGGAGCGCGTGCTTGGCTGGGTTCTGGGCTTGAGGTGGGCTTGGAAATGTGCTCTGGATTCCGGAAGCCCTCATGCAGCCTTGGAAGGAGGTTTCGGGTTTGGGGTTTACTATAGGGGCCTAAATAATTACCAATACTGTTGTGGTTCCTTGTTATGATTATAGTTTAATATACCCAAACCCTAATTCTAGTTATTAAGGCCCTTATATTAGGGTTTAGGGGTGCGAAAGACAGGCCTTTTTCAGTTCTGCAGAGCCAGGAACATCTCCTGGCACCACCGGGCGGAGGTGGAAGTGGGCCCGCCTAGTGGCTGCAGGTCACAGGGCTAGGCCTCATTGCTAGGCCTATCGGGAGGATGGACGGTCGAAGGATTTCTGGCTTTCCTATTTTGGGGTTCAGCTGATGTGATACTACGTCCGGAGCTACGGGTTGCTGGGATTTTGGCGGAGAACTTCTTTCTTTGTCCTACCATGTCCTCTCTGTGGTTTCTAGCTTTGGGGTCTGGGAGTTTGGAGCCTGGAGCAGTCAAAGTTTAAAGGCTCACATCCTGAGCCCAGGTACATGCTCGACTTTGCTGCGGTCAGCACGGACGGCCATGACCAGGAGCGGTACACACGAAGCAACCTCGAAAGGCCAGACTCTACTGCCATGTTCCAACCTATCATGTGCTCTTCGTGAGTCTCCCAAAATAGGGGCCTTTGTAATTTTAACGCTACGCCGCCCGCCTCGGCTCCTCAGGTGCAGGGGCAGGATGAAACGGCAAAGCAAAATGTATCACTCAGGAAATCTGTTCAGGTCACACCTTTTTTGAGATTTATTTGAGGAGGACTCCCACGATTCAACAGGTGCGGGGGCGCCGTAGAGCTGCTTTTTCAGCGAGACATGTCAGCGTGAGCGAACAGCTGTCACGCAGGGTTTAGTGGCCAACATGGCCACAGGAAGAAGGGGGGAGGGGGGGGAGAGGGGAGGGGGGGAAGGCCGAATAATCAGGTGAAATGAAGGGAAGCCAGGCAAGGGGGTGGCAAATCAATGCAAACAACGGGTGTCCCGAAACTTTCGCACTGCACAAAGGAGGATTAGGTGGAGCTGGGCCTGTGGCCTCAACGGATTAGAATGATTAGAATAGGGTTTTGAGGCCCACTACACTATAAGTGTTTAAGTATATTCTTATCAGGAACCCCCAAAACAGTATAAGTATTCATTAAGGCCGCTGGATTAGTTCGTGCAGGAGAACCCGCCGGACGGCTGGGACGAGAACAAGCCTGGGCGCTCGCTGGCTCGGCACTGCGTGGCTGTGGAGGTGCCCGGGCGATTTCCGGCTTCAAGTTCGGAGGTCGAAGGTTTGGATTCTTTTTAAGGATCCAAGATCATTGTTCTCGCTTGGCCCGCATGCAGAGCATGAGTTTGTAGGAGTTTCTATTCCGGTTTCCCCAGCGGGAAGCAATGAGCTTGGCCTGGCGTGGCAGGCGGATGGGCCCACACACTTCTACAGGCTCCGATGGGCGGAGGGAGCGCCTTCCTGGTAGTCCTTCATGCAGCTTAGTATTAGTATTGTCGTTGTAAGTTTTATTGTTATGATTGTTGTTATTGTTATGGTTATAATAAGATCTTCTTCTTATTGTTATCATTACTGTTACTGATATTCGTATTCTTATGTTGGTTGTTGTTATTATGGTCGTTGATATTATTATTACGATTATTATTATCATTATAACTACCACAAAAAGAGTCTTATTACTATTGGTATCAGTATCATTATTATCACACGACAGTTCAAAGCCTGCACCCCTTGAGCAGTCAAAGCTCAAGAGCAGGCCGCACGGAAAGCCTTGGCACTGGACCTCCACATCCAAACTCCGCCACCGCCTGCTGTCGGCCATGAGACCCTCGGCGATCTTTCAGGAAACTGGGGAAATTGAAGGCGAGGAGAATTGGTATTTTCTGGCCTGGGCTCTAGATTGTTTCTGCCGGCGAGACTTGTGGTCTGGAACTTATCGTTGACCGTGTGGGTTGAGTCAACTTGCATGGTGGTCCATGACCTTCGAGCCGTAGAATCCCCGTACTGACATGTCGCATGACAGCAGACTCCAACATTGATGCTCGAATGATCCAGGCCCCTGTGTTTCAGGTCTAGCAAGGGGTTCCGTCAGTCTACTGGGTCTCAGTTGATCGTTTGCCTCATCTAAGGAATCCGGGTGGCCCACGTGCCTTTCTTCGACTGGCTGCAGCTGGAAGGAGCCTTGCCACTGGGGTTGAACGACCGCCTTCACACTCATCCTGTAGATCCGCCCGCCTGAAGATACCCTAAACCAACCAAATCAACTTAACGCGGCACGAACGCACTCACGCAGCACTCGCGCGAGGATAATTCTCTGACCTGTGAGTCGCCTCTTCTCAGAGTCTCAAATGTCTTCGGTTCAAGGCCTAGCTTTCACAGTAGCATCGTGTAGTGCAACCTCAATGTCGTTGCGGGCTACGCTAACCAACTACGAGTAGCTCTCAGGACCGTCCCCACCCGCAAGCATGGGACCTCTTCCACCAGGACTTGCGCAAAAGGAGGCCTACTTGACCGAACTGCTTCTCAAAGTGCACAGCAGCCCCTTCCCTTCACTGAAGCTCGAGGCCCCGGCAGGCGCGGTGAGTGGTTCTGAGGATTTCAGGGCTTGAGAGTCGGGATTTGGTCACTCCCGGTTGTTGTTGAGGCCCTTTTCGACCCTTTGCAAGTGACGCAGAAACTCAGGGAGCTACTGCTCAGCCTCGAGTGCCCGAAACAACACCTGACCCGTCGGACCCGACTCGAATTTACCTTTCTGCTCCCGTGGCCGCCGTGGTTCAGCGCCACTCCGCATTTTAGTATCGAGAGGATGGTTTTATGCAAGCCTGGATGTCCAAATTTGGTAGGAAACGCAGTAGACACCGTTCATCGCCATGAAGCGGCGCCGAAGCCAGAGGCTTTGCAAGCTGAAGCTGCTATCTGCTTGGTTGAAAAGGAGGAAGCTGGCTTTGGGCTCGGAGGTTCCAGCAGGGCCTGCTCTGCTGGTGCAGAACATTGACACTGACCTGACTGAGCTCCCAAGCTCCACCGAAGCTCCAACTGGCCCACTGGCGCAGACTCAGCAGGCGAAAGAGAAGCACAGTGAGACCAACCCGGGCCCCGACTACAGGCAGGGCGCAGATGAAGAAGCTCCTTGTCCAAAGCATGAAGAAGTCGACGGCCCCGACGTGGAACAGGTGAAGGCTGTACCGTTGGCAGCGCAGGAGAGCAAGGAGAAGCTCTCTTCGCCTCAGCCTCGCCTCAGTGGCGATCTACAGGCGTTTTTCGTAAGGGTTCCAGGGCCCATGAACTGCCTGAGATCAACCGTTCCCTTGCGCGCCGCTGGATCGACAGCAGGGGCGACATGCAAAGCCAATCTCAATCCGAGTTGCACTTTGCCAGCCCTCAGCCCAAAGCCAGCCAGCCCAGCAAAGCCCAGCTCAGTTGCAGTCCCGCCCAGGCCCCAACACTGCCGACAACACAGCTCTTCCGAGCCAAGTCCAGCCCCAGCCCCAGCCCAGCCCCAGCCTAGCCCGACAGAGCCAGCTGCTTCAGCCCATCTGCCCGAAGCGAGATCAAAGTCGAAGGCATTGCCAGGAAGCAGGGGGGTTTGTTACAGCCCCACAAGCTCGGCTCCGCCGCCACCACGGCCGAGTCTAGCACCGCCTCCACGCCCACCTCTGCCTCCGCCTCCGCCTCCACCTCGACCTCCGGTGCGCAAGTATGTCTTGGATGCTTTAAACATCTTAAACTACCGAAACGAGGCCGGTGATGGCACGTTGGACTGGGACTTGCTACACCTAGCCTCGAACCACTTCAGGCAGAGAGGCCATGACATCTTGATCTTCTGTCCCAAGCTTTCCAGAAGTCAAGCCAATACCGATGCCATGAGCTTTCTCCACAAGTGTTTCGGCCCGAACTCTGTCGTGAACACTCCTTCCGGAAAAGATGACGATTCCTTCATGCTTTCGTTCGCGAAGCTTATGTGGGAGAAAAGCATTGAAGCTCGTATTGTGACGAATGACAGGTTCAGAGATTTCATTCAACGGGGTGTTCTGACGGAGTCGGAAGCCGACAAGCTGACCATAAAGTACTGCTTTGCAGCTGGATGTTTCGTGCCTGAGGATCTGCACAAGTGAAAAAAGATGCAAGAGTATGGTTGGTACGAGACGAGAGCTTGACGAGTACGGGAGAACACGGACATGACGCCCTCTCCATGGCTTCTGGTCTTGACTCGTGTTGTTATTGTTGGGGTGCTTCGTTCGGCGGTGTCGCAGCCGCCGTTCGCCTCCGGATGGAAGCATGGTAAGGAGTGTCGAGAGTAGTCGCGTATGTGGTGGTGCCGCTCGCAGGAGGAGTCGTTGAAGCAGTGACCAAGGAGAAGCAGCAAGCACAGAAGTATCGGTGTGCTTAATGCAATCCTTGAATTTTGGGTGGTAGTCGTTGGTAATCGGGGTCGTTGTGTCACGGTTCGTAGCAGTAGCAGCAGCAGTGGTGCTAGTGGAACTGTACTTCTGCCAACCTTGTTCATGTTTGGACAGGGAAAGACGGTCTTGTTATGAAGATGGATGTCACATACGGTAGCAGTGCGAGTAACAGTAACAGTAGAAGTCGCACCAGCGGTAGGAGTAGTGGTATTGGTAGCAAAAGCCCATCAATCTTGATTCTTGAGCCATTCGAATCCCTAAACTTGTCCTAAACCCTCAGCCAAACACTGCGGACGTTGTTTTGACTTCTATTGCAGAAGGGGAGTAAAGTCTCTTCGCTGCATCAGTTGCTGTGGTGGTCATGTCTGTTGGAAACTCCGAAACTTTGGTCGCCTGAAAATGTGGTTACCGAGGGATTACTTGCATGTCCAGCTCATCAGCCCAAGTCAGTAGTTGCGTAAATGAGAGTTGCCTTAAGCTCTCGACCATCCAAACTCTTCGGGAGGTGCTGAGCCAAATGAGCCGCCCAATGCCAATGCGGTTGGGGCGGAGAGGCGCAGACATGTTCCTGAAATGCAATGTTCTCTCACTCTATCCACCCGTCATTTATAGTGCTCACTCATGGATGCCAGGACCAGGGGCAGCTACATCCGGCGGAAGGTCATCATGAGGTCCCGAGCCCTTCAGGCACAGGCTGGTTAGGCGGCGAAGGATTCAACGAATGGGCTCATCGGAAACATCCTTCTTCGCCTGATTCTCTTCGTGGTCTCTTGCAGCACTTGCAAGTCTGGGCTTGAGACGATGCAGCGAAGCCGTGGCGATCTTTTGTGAGGACATTGCTCTCCTGCAGATCTGCTCGAGGATCTGCTATGCTGCCATGATCTGCTGCCAGTTCTCCACAGAGGGCACCTAGGAAGAGGAAAGACAAGCAAGGCACGACGCTTCGCCGCAAGACCTAGCCCAAGGCGTGGAGCTGGCCCAACATTGCAGGACTTGCGCCGCCGCGGCACCGACCCGCAAAAACTTCAAGAGCTCCACCGCTCCGTCGTCCATGCTGCAGATCCGGAGCCAGGAAGTAGAGGCTGTGAGCGCGCTCGCCGCGCCAATGTGTACATGTTGAAACGTATTCGTTTCGCTAGTGGAGCAAAGCGGAACAGCAGCATAAGGTTGCAAAAAGCGCTCCATATGCTTAGCCCAGTGACACTCCCGCCTGTGAACCCACACTATCAAGTAATCTTTTCAATGTTAATGGTAGGTGTATTGATAGTGTATCCGATAGTACCTCAAGGTAAGATCTCACACATCGATGACGGAACTGGCGAGCTTGCTGAGGTCGCCTGTTCTCAGAGGCCTTCCAGTGGATCGACACATGGCTTGACGAGCTGAAGGCCTGTTGGGGGTGGTTTAGGGTATTTGGGGTTCAAGGTTCTGAGTTTATTGTAGGGGTTGAGTGTGTGTTGCATCGTGTGTGCTCGATGGTGTGGGACACACCCAGGCCACCTTTTGGATCTATGGAGAACCAGTTCAATCTCCAGCGGGAAACAAGCGCAACATAGTCAGGTCTGCATGGGTTTCCGGAATCGCCTGCGGTCGAGTGCCTACAGGGGTCTTCCAAATCACCAAGTCCCAAAAGGCCCTGGTAGGTGTCATGCTTCCGCTGCCATTTCCTCTCGATCTGTGCAGCCTCTTTTCAACGAGCTAAAGCGCTTTGCGCGGGAAAACCTCTCCGCGCATTTATCGCCTGTCGCCCATCCTCTTCAAGGATGCTTTGGGGCTTCTGCTGGCCTCTCGGCCTTCGACTTTCAGGAATCGGTCTGCGGATAGTTGAATACGGCTGGCAGCAAGTTTTGATGTTGAGAACCTGGTTCGTGCAGCAATCTCCTTCTAGTGCATCACGCATGCTTCGGAATGCTCGGGCTGGCTGTCTGTTAGTTATGATCCCGACCAGACAGAAACCTTCTGAGGTACCTTGTACTCGCCTTCTTGCCACAATCGCCGGGCCTGGATTCGCTGGACGCATGCCCCTCCGGCACGGCCGCTGCTCAGCTTCGGGTTTGTTGCTCGGGGTTTGGGTCTGTTGAGGTGTCGGGTTGAGGCCTTTGTAACAGGATGAGTGATGCAGCATTTCGGCTTGGATGCCTGTGGTCGAGCTGCTTTGGAAGGTATCGAAACAACTTCATGACCTCTTTGCCAGATCGAACTGTGCTCCTAAGGACAAGCTTAAAAGATAAAAGCCATCGTAAAATTGTCGGGAGCCGTCCCGGCCCAAAGACCTTGGCTTCATGTGGCTACCGGCCCAAGGACTGCATTGCCAGAGTTACAGACGATCCCTACGAAGAGGACCTCTTCTTGCTGCAGCATTCTGCAGCTTCTCGTCGGGGATCTTCCTTGTCAGGCGTATTATAGGCACAGGGACGTCTGGGAGGATGTGGCGATACTACTCGGGAAACATCGATGTCGGGAATAGACCTGCGCCTGCGTTGGGCTTGTTCTCATTTTATGCTTCGGTTCCACCTCAACCCTGAGCTCCCAGTTCCGAAACGATCAGCGACATAGAGTGCACATCCTCAACCCTCTTTTACTGCCCTTGAACATCCCGACTCGAAAGTGCACGAAATAAAACGCTCCGCAGCCCCACTTCAAGGCCGTGCGCGAGGCCGAAGGCGACATCAATGCGTCGAAGGCCGCCCTGCGGACCGGCCCCGACCCGGACTCGACAGACGTAGCTCCTCGCCTCAGAGTTCTCGGGACTCCGAGGTCTCCATTCCAGGAAATCCCCTACTATAGGGGCCTGAATAGTAACCTATGCTATTTTGGGGGTTCCTTACTATAACTATACTATAACGGGGCCCAAAACCCTCCTTGTCTAATTATTAGGGCCCCCGTACTACGTTTCGGCGGATGGTCGAAGGTTGTCTTTTAAGACCTTCGTTAAAAGATTGGATCCCAGCTCGAAGTCCTCAATTCCAGCTCAGGGTCCCTTCACGCGGCTCCTGCACCTGATAACCTCGAATCCTTGGCATTTTCAGGGAAGCTTTTCCACAAATTTTGGGGGTTTCGGGTTCAGGGTCTAGAGCGACCAGAAGCCTCAACTATCAGCCCAGGATCCGTCATCGTGCAGCCGCCCGCTGGGGCTGGGGATCCTCAGATCCCAAGCCGCCCACACCAGACGCTCTGCGGCAGATCCGACGAAGACCAGGGCAGAGCAGATGAAGAGATGCAGTTTTCCTATCATCGGCTCCCTAGGATTTGGCCTTAATCCCGGACCCTTGAACCTACACCCCATGAGCCTCGTCGCTCCAAGGAGGAGGCGTGCACTTCAGGAGCCGAAAACTTCAGGGTCCTGGGCTTCTGGCTCAGGGGTTGGTCTGCGAGTCCATTGGGGTGTTGGGTGGAGGCCCCGGGCAGGCGCATCGGGTACGGATCCGGCATCTAAAGGGCTCCTGGGATTCTGGCTTGGGTTTGCATTCTGAAGTCTTGTTGAACAGCAAGGGCTCGCACTTGCAAGGAGGGTAGGCATGCAACCGCAGTGTTCTTGCAACAGTGAGTCTACTTTTCGATGCAGTGACCCCCCGTTTCTTTTGCCATGGCCTTTCTAAGTGTCGAAACCGCAAACAGCCAGGTGCGTTCGAGAGAGGAAATCCAGAGACTTACACCGCAGGGTCAGTTCCATGACACTTTCGCCGATAAGATTGTAACCCTTTTTGTGGTTATTAGTAGCTTTTTTGACTTATAGTTGTTCGATCTTCTTGTTCCATCTTGCAGCGTGCACTCTTCGCAGGCTGGAGGTTGAGAAAGACCTTAGCCTGCCAGGACTTTTCTTCAAGTATTCTGACGTCAAGCTAGAGGAAAATCTGGAAGCTACCTTCAGCCTCCACTCTCATGGAGCAGACTGCAGCAGCAATAGCGCTTTCGGCCCCAACGAGTGCTGCCTACAGTTGCCTGGCTTGCCTTCGAACACGGCACCAAAGCACTGCCGAAGAGCTTGCAGCAGCAACAACAAGAAGCAGGAACAACTCAACGTTGCAGCGATTTCCTTTAACAACATGTGCATCTGCTGCTGCATGCTGCATGCACCAAACCCCGAGTATAAGGTTTGGGACCGACATCGGCGTGACCATCCAGGCTGTTCTCCCACAGAATCTTACGAAGGATGCGGCGACTCGGAGTGCCTTTGGACACCTCAAGCCGTGGTTGATGCGACCTCGAAGGGCCAGCAAATTAAAAGGTTAACCGTGCAGTGGTGAATTGAGGGCTGCTGGGCCCTAAACCCCTAAACCCTAACCCCAAACATTGAGCCAGGTGATGCATACGCGTGTCTCAGCCTGGTATGGTTGGATCCCTCTCTGGGACTCAATGTCCTGCAAAATCTGCGGCGAGCCCTGCAGAGCTTGCCCCTCCATCAGCCAGTACCTCCCTTCCCTGCCTCTCAGCACTTCTTGAGGGTTTAGGAAGTTGTTAGGAGGCGTGGTTCAGGAAGCCGGGGCCAGGGCAGAAGCTAAGAGGCTATCGGGCTACGAATCTAAGGTTTCCTTGCGAGCCCACGCCCATGCCTGACTGCCCGATCCCGGCCGGATCGGTAACAGATTCGGCCAACGTGACGCTCCCGCTGGATGTACAACAGAAAGCCAAAGGAAGTAAGGCGACGGTCACTTACTCCCTAACTCGTGCCGACGGATCCGTCGTGACCTCTGGTGAAGTCTTCGGCAAGGTGTCGTAGACACCCTAGCGACCGTCTGCCCTGCTCTGTTGCTGGCCACTTGTCTGCCGCGGCCGGCCACGACCCAGATAATGACCGAATGGAGGAATGGAGGAAAAAGAGCAGGGCTTCTGGCTTGTGGGGAATCCGTGCACTCAAGACGAGGGCCCAAAGTCTGGCTACTATTTTTTGTTCGGATACGGCATCTAGGAAAGGACTTGATTAAGTTTAGAACAACACCCACATGAGCTTCCACGGCTCAATCTCCCAGCTCTCAGCTACTGCCATGCCTTGACGCAGTGACTCTGAAACTAAATCGCCGTACTTGGGTAGGAAAGATTCCAATGCAGCTTTTCGGGCTCCTTAAACCCTAAACCCCAAAGCCCATAAGCCGTGAAACTTGACATCTTGGGATATTGGAGTCAGTGGCGACAGGATCTGATCAAGAAGGAGGCATCGGCGCAGGCACAGCAGCCAAAGCAGTAGTAGTGCGGTTGTCCCTCTTGTGGACACCGTTCCCAGGGTAGCCTTCCGGAAGTTCGAGCAGCGTGGATAAGTTTGGATCTTAGCGGTGGTCGGAATGGTGACTCTTCCCTCCGACCCTGAAGGTCCACAACAGTGGATATGATCCTAAATTGCCCGAAACCCTGCAGCGCAGCTGCTCAAAGCCTCGCAGGACTCCCGCCGGCCGGAAGCGCAGCGAGTGCGTGAGGTGTCGGAAGGGGGTCCACCATATCCTTCTGACCCATCACGAGTCTCGGCCGAGCTGTCAGAGAGAAGAGACTTCAGAGGGACTGCGTTCACGGACAGACCAGGATCAGTTCGCTTGTTTCGGGTTACTCGAGGTCGACTCGGGAGGGAGCTTACAGTAGTTGCCGACTGACTATGACGGACTCCCAATTCACAGGTGTTGTTCGATTGCTTGGCAGCTGCTGATGCAACAAATCTGTCTCTCTCTCCCTCCCTCCCTCTCTCTCCGAAAGCCTAGATGCTACAGCTCCGCGAGCCACGCAGCTTCCTATTCCGTTAAGCAGTTAAGCTCTACCTGCATTAGTTCGGTCCGGCCGTGCGTAGACGGGAGTTCTCTTGGGCAGGCAGAGACGAAGCAGAAGAGAGTGGACGAACACATGCGCAGTGCCTGCAACCTCCATGCCCACTCCATCCTCATGCCCATGCCCCAGAGAGGTGTTTGGGTTTTGGGGCTCGGGGCAGTTTTGGGATCGATCGTTCTGCGAGGGAGATTTTGTCCAGGGGTTGGGAACGAGATCTCGTGCTGTGGGTTTGCTCACTCTAGACTGGGTATGGAATGGGAGGGGGCTTGGGAGCGAGCATCCGAGCATGTCTTGCTTGCCGGCTGCCGGACCCCTACAAGACAAGACTCTTCTGACTCTGCCACACTGCCCAGGCTTGACAAAGTCCCGTCATGTTCACAAAGCTTGAGCGTTTCTTCTACCCAGGCTCCGAAACGTGGACCTTGAGCAGGACGGCCGTGACCTCGCAGTGATTTTCGCGTGCGCAGATCTACATGGGGTTTCGGAGAACCTTTAGAGCCAGATCTCCTCAGCTCTCAAGCAAGCAGTCCGGAGGTTCCTGTAGCCATGAAATCGATGACACTTGCAACATGGCGGTCAACTAACTTTACACACACACAGCTCTACTTAGCAGCCCACTTCTTAAAACTAGCTTCCAGATCGTTCTTCATACTCAGAGTGACTTCATGGAGCCAACGCTGGAAGCCTGCCATGGGCGACAAAGAGAGGAAACGATCCCTGCTGTATGGCTGCTACCTGCTGCAATCAGTTCGCAACCATCGGAGGACTTACATCGGCTTTACCATGGATCCCAGGAGAAGGCTTCGACAGCACAATGGCGAGATCAAAGGTGGCGCGCGCAAGACCGATAGATGGAAGCCTTGGAAAATGGTGCTATGTGTTTGGGGCTTTCCAGGGAAAGTGCTCGCCCTCCAGTTCGAGTATGCTTGGCAGCATCCATCGCTTTCTCGACATGTGAAAGACAAGGTTGCGCACTTAGGCTTCTGCAAGATTGCTGGGCATGGCAAGCAATCGCCCGTGCAAGGCGTCGACAAGAACGTGCGAGTGCTCCTGGAAATGCTGCAAGCAATTCCATACAACAGGATTCCCTTGCGGGTGCACTTTCTTGAAGAAAGTTTGTGGACAGGCTTGGAGAACATGTTCGGTGCGGCTTTGCCAAATCACTTGACATTGACGCATGGCAGCTTTGACGATCTGCAAGAGCTATGCAAGCAACGTTTGACAATGGTCATGCCGCCGGCGGGGTCTGAGTGTGCAAAATGCTCAGAGCTACTGAAGCCTGGCGATCTTATCGTCCATTGCCCCCACTGTGAGTGCTTGATGCACCTTTCCTGCGCAGCTACAGTTTTCACCGGCACATCAACGAAGCTCATGCCTGACGATCCAGCTGATTGTCTGAAATGTTCGGTACGTATGGACTGGCTGGTGCTCCTCCGTAACCAACGGGTCTTGCGGTCCGCAGCAGCAGACGAGTGCGAAGAGGGAGACGAGGAAGATGAAGACGATGACGGCAATTACGATGAGGATCATGGTGATGACGATGGTGATTGTGATGATGATGGTGGCGACGATGATGAGGAAGAAGAGAGAAGGCCGAAGGTCAGCATTGGAAAGTCTGAGGCGGAAGTGAGAAAAGAACTCTTCTGCAGTGGCGACTCAGACATGCAAGCGTTCGAGCCGAGCTCCAGTCAGATCGACTGCGTTGATTCCTCCTTGCCCTCCTTGTCTTGGAGTCCTCCCAGCAAATCCCAGAAACAAAGTCCCCTGGACCGTCCGGGTCGTGCAAAGCGGCGAGCGGCGCTGCAAAGATGTGACAGCAATGGTGGAGATCACGAGCCCTCCGAGGTCGGATCTTGCAACGATCAGAAAGCCAAGCGGACTCCTGTCAAGAAGGCAAGGACGCAGACAACTCGAGGTACCGCAGCCTGCGCAGACGACGCGGCGAGTTCCTCAGTTACGGCTTCAGCGCCCAACTCTCCCAAAGTTGACCGATGCAATGCCCATGCTGTGTCAAAGCCTGCGGGTGCTAGTGCAAGCTTGAGACAGAGGCTGGCACAACGGACGGGAGATGGGTCGGCATTCTCAATTTGATGTCAGGCAGTGATCGAAGAGCTCTTTGCTTATGATTGAGGTTGCACGAACCCATGGAAGGATGATGCCGATAGTAAGGGTACGAGTTGGAGGGACCGTATCGTCGTCATAATTTACAATCAATACGTGGTTGCAGCTGTAAGAGCCGCCATGGTCAGACTAATAGTGACTAGTGGTTACGGCTCGTCTCTCCATGTAGCCGTTCAGCTCTTGTCAGCTACGCGGCTCTCCTCGTGTACAGCTGAGCTTGAGCTGCCCCTATGATCAGAAAATGTCAATGCCGTTTTCTTTCTTGAGTTTTCGGGTTTGGGGCTTGGAGTCTAGCATTCAGCACTCCGCATTTTGATGGTTTTGCTAGGCGGCTTGAGGCTGAGCCCGAAAGTCCCAGAGCCGATGTACCCTTATCCCTGTACCCAAAACCCTCCAACCTAAACATCCTAAAGCCCTAAACCCAAAAGCCCGAAAAACCCTGAAACCCAAAATCCGAAAACCCCTTCGAGGAAGGCCTTCCCCGAACCAGCCCTCAGTCGTAACAGGCATTCCAGACTCCCTTCGGGCAGACGGAAAAGAGGGTTCAAAAAAAACATAAAATCCGAAAACCCAAAATGCGAAAACCCAACAGCCAAAAACCCTCAAACCCTAAAGCCCCGACGAAGAGCGCCGAGGCCCGGCGACCGTCTCCCGGCTCCTCTCCTCCTTCGCTTTCCTCTCCATGCCAGGGGCTGATGAGAGGAGGTTGAGTATTTTAGGGGCCTTAATGATTAGAATAGGGTTTTGGGGCCCATTATACCACAATTAAAATAAGTATTAGGGACCTTAACAGTTCAACTTAGCATGTGCTCTTCGTGAGAAGCCCAATATAGGGGCCTTTATAAGTAGAATAGGGTTTTGGGGCCCATTAGACTATTACTTTTAATAAGGACCCCCCCCCCAAAATAGTGTAGGTAATCATAAAAGCCCCAGTATTAGGGATGGGCTCGGTTGAGAGTTTGGGGTCGTGTGGGCCGTGTTATTTGGGAATCGGATTTTGCAAGGCTTTGTGGGCTTGGGAAAGCACTACCGTACCCAAAACTTCGAGGAGTCGTTTTTGACCGCTGGCTCTGACGAACTTACGTTTAGACAGCAGCTGCGCGTCTCCTGCTTGCTGCTGCTGGTTTTAAGATGAACTTTGCATAGTGCTTGCAAGTGCCACTACCAGTGACTACATTTTGCAACTCTGCTTCTCATGACCGATTACACCTGGTTTATTTGTTTTTGTCAGCATTGCTCGAGTAATGTTCGGAGAACTGGGCTTAGGCAAAAGATCTGCTCCTGTGTATGTACTTGTGAGCCGCCTGCAACTGGTCAAGTACTGTTCATGTCCAGGGCGACTTCCGGAAGCACCACGATTTAGCCCTCAACCTCAAACGCCTAGCCTGGCATTGTTCTGCGGGTGATACCCAGGCACCACACGTTCAACCTCCCCGAAGGAGGCCTCGACCTTCCGGAGTCGGGGAGCCCAGCCGAGGCGGTCGGTCGAGTCTTCTCCATGTTGCCCTTCTGTGGAGAGCAGTGAAGAGCAGCAAAAAGAGCTTGCTGCTGCTATTGCTGATGGTGGTACTTGTGGTGACCACGACGGCGACAAAACGTTATGATAACGATGGTTCTGATGCTGCTGGCATTGGTGGCGATGATGGTAGTGATGCTGCTACTGCTGGTGATGACGATGATGATGGCGACACGAACACCATCATGATGATGATAGCAATTTCGAAGATGACGATCATGACGAAAGTGGTAGTGATTCTGGTAATCATGATGGCGGTGATGACTGTGAGGAGGATGGTGACAAACACGAAGTTGATCCGAGTGAAGAAGAGGATGATGCCGGTTCGTCAATCTTCATACCGATGATGACGATGGCGGGCGTCATGATGACGCTTGTACTATAGCAGGCGGTGTTGGTGAGGGTGTGATGATGATTCGGATGAGCATCTGAGTTATGATTCGGCTGCTGGTGATGATACTGGAGGTCATGGACATTGATGATGTTGATGCTGCTGAAGGTGAGGAGGACGTAGCTGGTGGTGGCGGCGGTGGTGATACTGTTGATGCTGCTAATGGTGATGCTAGTCATGTTGTTGCAGTAGCCACAATGGTTGTTTTCTGCTTGTGGCTTGCAGTGCCTGTTGCTATGGCTTTCAGGATTCTGGCCTCCACTTCACCGCATGTTAAGCTTTCTCTCTCTTTCTCCGTTTTTTTTTTTTCTCTCTCTCTCTCTCTCTTTCCTCTCTCCTCTCTCTCTCTCCTCCCTCTCTCCCTCCCTCTCTGTCTCTCCCTCGCGCAGTCTCCCTGTCTGGAAAGCTGCTCGAACTCAACCTCCAGGCCTCGACTCTCAGGCAAAGGTGGCGAAGAGCTCCACCAGGCTTCTGATAGGCAATGCCATGATTCGTTTGATCCGCTGCTACCATTCTTGTCTCTTTTGATCTTGTAATGGTCTCACTCGTGTTGCTACCCAACATTTACAGGAATTCAGCCCCACATCGGAAAAAACAAGCCTCGATCCTAAATCCTGCCCTGTTGCCTTGGCTCCGGATTCCTCAGGCCTCAATACAGGAGCCTCTGTTCCGGCACCTGTCTGTTTGTCCTTGTTCCTTCTTCCACAAACACTGCAAAACGGATCCCAGCACAGCGCCATTCGCTTCGAGACCATCCCGAGGCCAGAGCTTTTTGAGATCTATCATCGCCACCGTCGCCACCTCGTAGGCGGCAAGACGGGCCAAGGGAGAAGGGCGTGGTGTACAAAGCAGGGGCATATAATCCCGCGGATAGCCAATCCTGAGCTCTTATATTGATGCCTCAGACCGTTAACGCAACACAGCTCTTCTGAAGTCCTGCGGTTCATGGGTCATCTTTTCTTGTCACAAAGCGGAACGGTGATTCTGAAGCTGGCAAAGCGGCAACGGCGTGGTGCCAAAGGTACGGAGAAGTAAAGCCTGAGTGTTGCTGCTTGTGCGACTACAAGTCGTGCTGTTCTGCATCTGTGCACTTGGATATATTGCATAATCTTTCTGTGGACCTTGCTGTAATTTGTGCACTCTAAGTTCAATTGCTGTCACAGCCTAGGAAACAGCATCTCGTTGTATTCATACTGATAGGAGTATCAGCTAAAGCCAGAACCCTGTCCTTTTTGGACAGAGGTTGGTTCGACACCAGGATGGAGAAGAAGGAGTTCCAGCCTGAGCTCTAACACCAGAGTCTTTGAGGGCTCTCAGAAAGGGGGCCCTTGTGTCTAAGGGTTTCAGGAAGGGTGTCACAGCTCGTGGAGACACGCCTCAAACCGACCTGGCACCAACCTAGGGCATCTGGGCGCGTCGTCTCCTGAACCTTTCACTCCTCCGCTCGAGGTATCGGAACTTCAACTCCGTCCTGCAGACAGTGCATGAACAGTTCTCGGCGCTGGACGCAGTACCCTTCTCGGGCCCGTTCTCATTCGTGCTCCAACCTCCACCTGAAGCCCGAAGCTACGAGGACTATACAGCCGCTTCAGGTGATGCAGATGTTCAATACGAGATGACCACGGTTGCTGGTAGTGGTTCGGGGATGTTGTTGTTGATGATCGCGGTGATGACGGTGATGGTGTGGCAGCAGGACGGATGGCAAAAACAGTGGTGGCAGAACGATTCCCAGCATCACCACCGACCCCCCGCCACAGCCACCCCCACCATCACCGCCGCACCATCCTCCGCCGCATCGTAGTCATCACTCACTGCCATCATCATCATCATCATCGTTGTCATCACTATCACCATCATTATCATCATCGTCATCATCATTTCATCATGCCCTTTACAGGATGCCCCCGTACAAGCTGCAAGTATTCAACAATTTCCGAGCAAGGCCAGCTCGATCGACACGGCGGAATTTGAGTGGGGATCCATCGGAGGCCGTTTGATGAGATTTCTTGTGGATGTGATTTGGAGGACCTGTTACTCTCCTCTTGTCACAAGCGGCCTGCTGGTCGCCATGGTTTCAAAGCCCCAACTAGAAATCCGGACTGAGTGAATGACCAGAACCCGCATGAAGCTGAGCCGGACTGCACCGAGCGTCGCAGTCGCGGCAGCAGTAGTGGTCGAATAGTGGTGTTGTGGCAGAAACGTTGATGGTGGTGGTGGTAGTGCTGGCAGTGGTAGCAGAAGTGCAGTGCGTCTTCGGTTGTCGTTAGCAGCAGAAGTGCTTATGATCATCGTTGTCTGCGTGGTGTTGCGCTGGCTGCAAGTGGAGGCGATGTCCACAATGCTGGCCGCTATTGTGTGGTCGGCAGGAAGCTCAGCAGGTCTCAGCTGTAAGTGGTCGGATCCTTGCACAAGACAGCTGGGAAACTGAGAATCTGGCGGCGGAATAGTTGCGAGACCTTTGCGCACCATGAGCCACTGGGAGCTGTGCCCTGCAGTGCTGAAGTTGCGTGGCCAGAGAGATAGTGCAGGATGTTCTTGGGTTGCTTTGTTCCACTGAGGCCGGAAGCGTTCGGAGGCGGGGCTGCGGAAAGAGTAAGACTGTTGTTCGAGCAGTTCTAAGAGTTGGACGACGCAGACGCTTCGATTGAATTGGAGCAGAGCGGCTGCTTTTGTTAGTATCTGCTCGGCCTGCCTCGTTCTAGCCAGCGTGGTTACTCTTCAGTGCCTAAAATCAAGGATCTTCGAATTGTGTCCCAGAATTGCCCATGCAGGCTGAACGCGGAGAAATTACGAGTGTGACAGAGGAGCACCCGCATCGTTCTAGCCTGTCTGGCTTCGTGCAGCCGCAGTTCTGATGTCGTCTGGCACCAGTCACAGCAGTTGTATCAACGCCTCTGACGTAAATCATGAACATGAAGCCTTTTCAGGACAAATCCGGTGCAACGTGGGTGGAGCTCAATGTACAGTTGCTTCAAGTCACGGTGCGCGGACGCTATGCCCGGGACTAATTCGATTTGATTAAGTTTATAAGGGGAGACTATGTTGTGCCGACGCAGCCTGCAGTCACTCGATCACATTGCCATGCGTGACTGCCCATGAATTATTCCAAAATGCGACCCCGAACTGACAACAACGCGAAGCCCGTCGCGTAAATGTCACACCTTGGCACCCAGACCCCCGGCCTATGAACTCAAAGTCTTGAACCCCGCTGAGCGTCAAGAAGATCGATCACCCCCATGCCGAAACTCAACTTTTGAAGTCTTTGTTCAAAAACAGCCTGAGCTGAGACTCGAGAGGCCTGAGGTTCCCCAAACCCTACACCCTACAGCTCCTTGAAGCCTTGCAAGTGCCCAGGTGACCCCCCTGGAGGAGGACACCTCGGGGCATTCCGACTTCCGAGACATCCTGCGATTGCGAGGCCGCGAGGCGAAGACGGTGCAGTGCCGGGGGGCCAAGTGCTCATCTTGAGAAGTAGGGATTGGGGCTTCGGGTTTAGGCTTTAGGGTAAAGAGTTTAGGGCTTTGGGGATGTGTTGTGTGTAGGCTTTTGGGGTGCCGACAGCGATTCTGACAGCCGCGCTGTTGCTGTTGACTGCGCTACTTATGATGACTGCCATTTGCAGGCTCAGCAGTGCCATAGCGGTGCACGGCAACTGCTGAAATTCTTTTTCATGTAGTTAAGCTCAACCACCATGGCTCTGGTGACAAGAATAATTCTTCGCAAGTGATAGGCAGTGTGCTATACTTGGGTAGCAACTGTTGTGCTGTTGCTAGGATCTGAGACAGACAGTGTCTAACTTAGCAACGCAGGCTAGCCGTCAGTTCAGCAGAAATGTAGGTCATAAGTTATAACGTAACATCACAGAAAGTTATATAGTCAGTATGAGTAGTTACTGGTCTGGGAACGTGTATTGGCATGGCAGTGGCAGCTGTCTGTGCTTCTGCCTGTCATGAGTACAAGAATCCGTACTGGCATGGCATCAGCATCGGGTAGTAGGGCTTATGGCCAAGGTTTCAGAGTCGGTTTGCGGCCACAGGTAGGCCCGTCATCACCTTCAATATCCACTCATGAGGATGATAATGGGCCCTATTCCCCAAACCCTACACCCCAAACCCCGAACCACTAATCAGTGAAGGTTCAGAGATCAGGTCTCAGCTCTTTGGGCCCAAGGTCCGAGGGGTGCCCCGAGCTCTAAGCCTTCGGACCGTGGTCCCGTGGTGATGTTTCAGCTCGGGAAACAGCCCGGGCTGGAGCCGGAGCGTGATTCCACTTGTTGGAAGCCCGACACTACAAGCTTCAGCTGTTATACGCATAAGGATCTCAAAGTTCATGTGGCTGGTTGAAGCCGCATGGACAACAACACAGATACTGGACCAAGAGGACCGGTTTAGGGGCACTGTGATTTACCATGCTCTGTATGCGCGTAGCTTTGAACAGCGTTGCCTCGGGTTTGCGGTTCAGTCTGTCGCCTCGAGGATCCAATTCACAAACTACTTGAAGCACCAGGGGAGTCGGTAACTAGATTACAACTTGGTTTTTAGGTACTCTAGTTGATTTATAACAACTGCACCGAGAGCGTACTCACTCAGTCCACAGAACTCCAAGTATGCTTAGTCGCCGTACCAGATGCCTAGTTTTAGGGTTGACGGTTTAGGGCCCGGAATTGGGGCCCAACGCAGTGTCCCACCGCAAGTTTGGAGAGGATGAACCTGCCTCTTCCTGCCCATCCGGCGGTGTATGTCCCCTCAGTCCTCCATACCCTACCTGCAGGTAAGCCAAAATAGTGTAAAATCCCATGTGGGCCCTAAGCCCTATAAGCCGATAAACAACCCTGAGCCGGTTTTCGTCACGAAGCATGGTGCAAGCCCAGGACCTACACCGTCAAGTGTACCTCCTTGTTTAGATACCGTATTTCGTTACTGCAGCATTTTACCAACAAAAGGGTTCTGCGAGAAGTACGAATGACGAAAAACAAGAGGCGGGAGACTTACTTCTTGCATACCAAAACAGGGATCTACAGGGTTTTCCATGGAGGTTGGATGGTTTTGGCAGGATACATCTCCCTGTTCCAACCCGCAAACTCAATGGATCATTGTTGGCCTGCGGCCTTCAAGCGGGCACATGCGAGTTTCCTTGAAGTCTGCGGATGTCAAGGTGGGCCCGGCGTGCTTCAGTTTGCAAGTCAGTGTGAGACGGGGAAAGGCTTGCACGGGCTGTGAGTGGCACACCCTTGAAATCATTTGCGTGTTTTTGCATCAAGGCGCTGCTGGCTAGCTCCTTGCTGCTGCCTTTGTTTGTCCAGCTGTCCCAGGTACTTACTTAATCAGCAACTTTGGCAAGCATGTTGGAAGTTCATGGTTTGGTGAATGGGCGCCTAGTTCTGGAGACGAAGATTGGGGACATGACAGTCAGGGACTTGGTGAAGAATGTCACGGAAAGGCTGAATAATGAGAATACAGTGTGTCCGCAGCACCAGCCCGTTTCGAGATTTCAGATTCGTCTGCATGACGATGACGGCACTGAAAGCACGGTCCAGATTCCAAGGGATTTACATCAAAACTGGAAAGATGTTCTGCAGAACATGCTGGAAGAAAGGAATGGCATGGCGACACTGCGCTGTCGCACGATTCCATATTATGCTTCGGAGGATGCTTCAAATGACGACGAATTCAGAGACAAGTTTCGCGCTTCTTGCCGGGCGGGCCGTCTCGAGGAGGTCGAGAAACTTTTGCACGAGCCGGTGGACCCAAGTCGCGAGTTTAAGCATGGTTTCAATAGTCAATTCCATTATGCATGCTCCCACGATGACCGAAAGATGGCCAGACTGTTGTTGGAGGCACATACGGATGTAAACTCTGTGATCACAGAGGAAAGTAGCTTTGATGGTACTGCTTTGAACAAGGCATGCAGAAGTCTCATGCCAAAGTTGGTGCAGTTGTTGCTGGAGTTCCGAGGTGATGTGAACCGACCAAACGGAGTGCGAAACCCTCCCTTGAATGTGGCGCTCAGGTTGCGACTACCCTACATAACATATTTAAGCCATGAGTTACCCGTGATGGTTGTTGACAAAGACAACTTCCGCCAGGCACGTACCATCTGCACTCTCGTGGAGTATGAGTATACAGAAGAGGATGACACGAGAGTCTTTGAGCTTGATACGTCCGTCTTCAATAAGTGTCAAGCTGTTGCCGTTGCCTCCATTGATACACGACTGGAGATTGCAAGACTACTGCTAAGCTCCAGGGCAGACGTGGACTCTGTTGGTCAGAATGGTGAGACTGCCTTGATAGCGGCGATGGAGCATGGGCAAGAGACGCTTACCGATTTCTTGCTGGAAAACGGTGCTGACTTGAACTTTGAGGTTAGCCCCTTTGAACAGACTCCGGGTAAGACAGCTTTACTTGCGGCGATGGAGCACACTCATTGGCAGATTGTACTTCGATTGCTGAATGCACGTGCAGACACCGGCAAGGTGAAGAACTATCCTACTGCTTTGATCGCGGCGCTCAGTCAGAAAGAAGAGACAGATAGTCGCAAGTCTCGGAGAATGTCATATGACCTCGAGGTTGTGCGCTCCTTGTTGAACTCCAACAATGACATGAATGCCGTGACTGCTGCGTTGGAGGCGGTGCAGGACAACATTCGTAAGGACTTTCGTCCTTGGAAGCTCGATGACGACGTCATTAGGGAGCACAGGGATCTGTTGCGCTTGTTGCTCGAGTTCCGAGCTGATTTAAGCTCTGTTCGTGATGTGCGCGTCCCCCTGCACGCTGCTTTGGAGCGCCCTTCAAAAATGGCTCGTGTGGCCCAGCCATCGACAATAACAGCGACTTCTCTGTCTCTATCCATCGAATCCGAGGAAGCCGAAATATGGGAAAGAGTTCTGGCATCGCTCCCCGACGTGAGCTAAAGCATCACGCAGACAAAGAAGGTAGTTTCAGAGAGCAAAACTTCTTCTGTATATACTCTATACCAACTGTCGGCAGCCTGCCTGACCAGAAGCATGCCGCATAAACAGGAGAGTGAGAAGGCTTCTTTGAGAGCGTACGCTGCTACATTTCCCAGGTGGAAACCGGCGGACATTGTAGTCCAACGCGTAAGCCATAGGATAGGTAGCGCTATCCCTTTCATGGCAAATATAATGTACATGTGATATCATGCGCACGGGTTAGACAGGCTGTGAGCGGAAGCTGCTGCTTCGATGTATCGCTGTAGTCCGTTTTCTGCATGAGCGACTTCATATGGTCGCAGCCATTCTTGCGAGCATTAGCTGGGAGCGCACCACAGGTGCGTGAACGGCATGACACTCGCACGTCAGATAATCAAGCTGAGCAAGCCGAATTCATCAGAGTTTGCAGCATTTGCCTAAATTCATGACGCCGACAAGTCGATGAAGCACAACTGAGGTCATAGACCCCTGAAGCTAAGCTCAGAACCCTTCGAGACGTCTCTCTGTGTCTCACTGCATGCACCTGCAAGACCATGCGCAAAGAAAGTTCGAAAGTGAATGTCTACATTTCCAGTTTGGTGCAGATGACGGGCTGCATACTTTACACAGACCGCGTAGTTTCTCTTCGCGCTCACGGGTAATATGCAGCTATACTGCTTGCCAGGAAGAAAATCGCCACATGGTGTTCCTGGCCTACTTTGCCTCCGCGAGCCTTCGCCACTTGGTTCCTTGTCTCCTTCTCGCGGCCTGTGGATGTTGGGTGTAGAACCAAAGGGTTCCCGACCATGGTATGTAGTGTCGAATGAGGTAGCGCAGTATACCCAATGCCCCATTAAGCCCGAAACCCTAAGCCTTCAACGCTGAACCTCTAAAGCCCTATAAGCCTGCAGCGATCAGCCCTAAGCCATAGGCCCTACCTGGACCCTAAGAAACCTACCTTTTCTAGGGTTCCATATTATGATGTCTTTATGCAGGTCCTTCCAAAGATAGGTTGTTTGGGGTCAAGGTAAGCCTTAGATTAAGCCCTCAATCTATAAAGCCCTGAGCCCTTGTAACTTTCAATTCGAGACTTCAGCTCAAGGGTGAAGCGTTTAGGGCTTTAGAGGTTTGGGGCTATCTATGTGTGGCTTGCAGGGTTGATGGGCTTAGGGTCTTGCAAAGCATCAAACCCCAAGGGTCCCAGTATATACTCAGGCTACTTAAGTCTTGAAGGGGTTCCTATTGTAACTATCAAGCCAATGTATGTAAGTATATACTAGAAAGATACACGGACCCTAGAAAGATCATGCAAGACATGAGTTTTGATCCTCCGTCCCAAACCCCATGCCGCAAATCTTTTTCAGGCCTGCAGTACAATAGGGCTTGGGAGTTTAGGGAGTTGTAAACCTTGCAGCCCCAGACGAAACTCGTGCACCCACCGATCTCTCAGGTACAGAATGCTTCGACCGTCCGGGTGGCCCATCTTCACACGCATCAGCTTCGACAGCACCAGTTTCACAAGCGACGTGTTGGGTGCATGAAGACTCTCGTGTCGACTCTCAGCACGGCGGCATTAAACTCTGGACCGTCATCCCGAAATATATGCCCCGAAACCTCAACACTATGCCCACCCTAGCCGAAAAGAAGTCCTGAACTCCTGAACCTTGAACAAGCTTGTGCTCAAACTCCACACCACCTCACGGGCCGAGAAGCTATCGCCAGTTAGAGGACTTGTTGCGGGACATGGACAAAGCTTCAACAACCCTATGTTAATGTGAGCATATTCGGTTTGCAATTCTTATTGTTCCAACAATATCCGTTTGATGGCATTTAGGGCATGTAGGTCTAGCTTGATTGCTTTTGTCTTCGAGCTTCTTGCACCCTCAATCGCCAGCATACCCGTGAATAGCCCACGCAGGGCAAAGAGATCTGTTGGTGGTCATACAAGGTACCATGTATGCCTTTAATATCCCTTGTGGTGTCCTGTCAAGCGCAGCGTGAACATTCCGCGATTTTCCTTTCAGCGGTGCTTGCGGAAGTGTTGCGGCTTTGACTGCGTAATCGGGCATTCGCTCGAGTGTGTGCACGGGCATTCCTTCCTGCCGGACCTAGCTCGCCATGCTACCTTTTGTACAAAGGGCTTAGTTCACGGATCTGTTAAAGCATTCAAGCCCTGCTGCTCAAGCTTTGTTTTACAGCTTTACACATTGTTGCGGCACTTCAGCTATGCATTCCCCGGCTCCCAGTGCACTCAACCTTGCTGACAAGCTGATCTCCCAACGTCCAAATCATGAGCCGGCAAAGACCCGAAACCGCAAGCTCCCATGTTGAGCTTGAATGAGATCTTCCCGGTACCTATGCTCTCCAGAGTCTTTCTATGGTTTGGTAACCTGATGTCTTGATTATCCGAAGGGTCCATGTAGCTATGTAGTTTTTTCTTTAGCCCTACAGGAGCCCCTTAAGGCCCAATTTGTTTTAACCATATATGGGCAATTATGGGCACATAGACCCTTCGGGAATTATAGGACCCGAAGACAGGGTAACCAAGGAAAGTAACGTACAGGTAAGCAGATGCTTTCTGCAGATTGCTGTTCGGTAAGCCGCCCAAGAAGTAAATCCATATCATAGTAATTACCCAGATAGCTTTTCCGAATAGGTGACTCATTCGAAGTTGGGCGCCCTTGGCAGGATATGGCAGGATACGCCAGGTTGTGTGTTCAAGGTTTGAGAACACAGGCTTAAGACATCAAGGGGCCTGTAAACCGTGCAGAGCGCCAGAAAGCGAATTAGGATTTAGGTTCGCCGCAGCTTTGGGATCGTAGATTTCGGAGCTAAGCTTTCCACTCGCAAACGTAAGCGCCGGACCTTTATAATTTCCTGGTATGCTTCCTTGAAAAGACACGTTTTTGGGCTACGTTAAAACTACGATTACTACGATTACTACTAGTACTACTAGTACAGCTAGTACCACTACTAGAACTACTGACTATAAACTACCCGTTACTAGGAGGACTGCTGAACACCATTCCTGGGGCGAGTTGAGAAAATTGAGGGTTTAAGGTTTTGAGCTTAAAGCTTGAAACTTGGGGTTTGGGGTATAGGGTTTATATCTGAGGGCTTAGGTTCCTCTCGTCTGTGTGTATGCCTACTGCGAACGGAAACGATTACGTAGAAAGAAGCACTGAGGAAGGAAACATGATAAACATGGATTCCTGATACTAAATATTTTTAAGAGTTATTCTCACGGTATATAGTACTTAGTATCTTGGGACCTTCAATATCAGGGGGAAAGGATTCAATTATTCAGTAATCGTCAGACATAGCTAATTATAAGAACCTCAGAGCTTCGAAGACCGATCTTCGCCCGCCCTGCGCACGACTCGCCCCTGCTCGGCTTCTGTGATCTAACATCTTTAGCGCTGCGGTTTGGGGTTTAGGGCTTAGAGGTATGGGCGTAGGGTTTAGGGCTGAGGGTTTAGTTTAAGGTCAGGACGTAGGGCTCAGGGCTGAGGGGGTAGGGCTCAGGGCTTAGGGCGTAGGGCTCATGGTTTAGGGCTTAGGGTTTAGGGCATCGGGTTCAGGGTTCGCGGCGAAGGGTTTAGGTCTTAGGGTTCGGGGCGTAGTAGGCCTAGGATTAAGGGCTTAGGATTTCGGGACCAGAGTTTACGGCTCAAGGTTTAGAGCATAGAATCTTCAAGGCCCCTTCTTCCATCTGTGCAGGGTTTAGAGTTGAGTACCAGAGCCCTCTTCAGCGCTGAATTTGTCCCTTCAACTTATCGAGACGCAAGGCTGCCACGTTGTGGGTGGCCTCTGAGGGTCCACAGTATTTCGGTGGCTGGCGAACTAGTTGCTCTTCGAAGACCGACTGGGTTCAGAGTAAGCACATCATAGGCAAGTACTACTCTTTCAACAAGCCCATTTAAGGACGTATCCGCATTTTTAACTGGAAGCTGTCTCCCATATCCTCTGATCCTTCATGCAAGACATGTGTATCAATATTAATATCTGTACGACTTGTCGAAATCCCAAAATATCATTGTCATTATCATGAACATGTAGATCCAAACAGCCAGAGTCATGGATAGCATTACACGTACACAGGCTATCCCTTGTTTAGAGTATTGTTGTTGTCCTTACTGCAGGTCCGTTTGGATGGTTTCGGGGATGGTGATCGGCATCTTGAAACCTCTGGTCTTATCTCCATGCCTGTGCCTATGAGAGTTCCCGTGGCCCAATTCCGTTGTACCTTAAATCCTAGACTCCCTCAACCCTGCACCCTTTCCTGCAAGCTTCGACAGCAGCGCAGTCTCACCGCCGAGGTGCCGCGCTGCTTTCCACAGACCTGGCGGCCGGGCTGCACCATGCGACTCCTTAGGGTTCCTCAGTCGGATCATAGCAAAATACACCCCAAAACCCCTGATGGCTAAGTCTTGCCAGCTCCACGTTGAGGTGGCTTTGGTTGCAAGGTCTGCTGTTGGTGGGTGAGGATGTGGGCTGGCTTTATGGTTGTCTAGCAGCTCCTAGCACTTGAAGCTTGAACTTGAGCCCGACGTCGAGAACAGGTGCCAGCAATGCCGGTACCATTGCAGTCGTCATATCGGCATTCGTACAAGTGTCATAGCTGCTGTTATCTATCACAACCGACATTTCAACAAGAACGAATGACCATAATCGCAGTTCAGCAGCCGTTCAGTCAATATCAACAACACTTCTCCTGTTGTGGCAGCTTTCCGCAGGTTCAGGTCTGGGAAACCCCAAAAGATGATGCTGGAGCAATTTCAAATTGTTCTGCAACCCCGAAAGCCTGAAACTCCGAGATTCTGCTCGCAAGGCTGCTCCCCAACGAACCCCGATCGCCCAGGTGAAGGTGAGGGAGCTTTTGTCCTTCCCATTCAGGAGACAGGGTCTAGAGTCTGGCAGTAGCCAGCTGCTGCTGTCTTCTGTAAGTTGATGTCCCAACGCAGTTCGCAGGGCTTCAATCA